TTTTATTTATTTAGTAGTATATATAATATCAGTAATAATAATACAATTATAATAATTAAATCTTTAACGAAGAGTTTCAAAAAAAATCACATTCGAACACACACACAGCGAAAAAATAAGTATTCTTTGCGACTATTATAGACACTTACCACAAACCTCTCGCCGATAACGCGAACCGATATCTTTAAACATATGTTCCTCCACATACATTCTCCTGAAATCAAAACCTCTCGCGAAAACTCCTCTCCAAATAACGCTATCAGTAATCCATACCCCGTCATCACAACCTCCTTTCCCGATATCAGCGCCGAAATCCTGCCCCTCAGAATCTTAAAACACATTCTCCTCCACATACCTTCTTTTGAAATCGAAACCTTCCTTTTTATTTTATAAAATTTGTTAAGCTTTAAAAACAACTTTAGATAATTTAATTATTTAAAATAGTATTTTAAATAAAACCTCATTAGAAATTTGTCTTACTTTTCAGGCTCCATGCTTTTCTGTTGTTAATGGCCTCGACAAGAATATCCAAATGTTCACGACAACGACTGAAATTACTTAAAATAAATGATTCACTTGCAACTGCATACGCTGGCAATGTAATTTTCATAACATTTTTAGTACTGTCTCCGTAAGCAAAATATTTATTGAAATTAAAAAATATGAAAATAATCAACAGAATTATTCGAGTATTTATTTTCATGTTAGACCTGTCAAAAATAACCATTTAAATTATTATAAACTGCCAAACTCAATAATTACTAGAAATGTCTAACATTTATTATAAAAATCATTTGTCAATATAATTGGAAAACAGAAAACACTCATAGATATAATCAAACTTAAACAGCTCATTTATACAGGATTTTAAAGATAGTTTCATGAGATGGGTAGTATAATGTATTACACTACCCTTTTATTATATAAAAACGACTCTGATTTTCAGTGGCTACACATTCAAAGAAATAAAATAGATCTCTTGTAATTTTTCGATTGAAGTAATGTTTTTGATAGAAAACATAACTTGATCATATTAAAATAATTAAACCGGGACACTGCGTTGCCATAAATATTAATCAATTTTAATTTGTTGGCTTTTCTTAATTATTACGAAAACTACGATGGACGTCGAAAAACGATTTACTCTTTCAGTGGCGAAATATTAAAAGGAACAAAATCGATCTTCTTTTATTTTTGGATTAGAGTAATATTTCTCATAGAAAACATCGTGTTAACTTAATAAAAACAACGAAAACATTCACGCCGCTGTGTGCCATAAATATTTGTCATTTTATATATAATTTTCTTTCGGATATTCCCTAATTATTTCGAAAACCCATTGGAAAATTAAAAACTCACCTCCTCAATGCACCAAATAGAGAAAATTTACTTTAAGAAATGNGACGTCGAAAAACGATTTACTCTTTCAGTGGCGAAATATTAAAAGGAACAAAATCGATCTTCTTTTATTTTTGTATAAGAGTAATATTTCTCATTGAAAACATCGTGTTAACTTAAAGTTTTTGGTAGAAAATTTGTTCACAGACAGAAAAAAAAGTACTCACACTATACGCTTCGAATTTAAAATTATCTTAAAGCGTAAAAATTTGAATACGTCGGTAGTAAAAAAAGTGGTTAAGTAATTTAAAATTTTCTCGAATGAGAAATAAAATTAAAAATAGAATATATTTGTTAAAAATACTTACATAATTTATTTACCGACTTGTTTAAAAATAACTCTAAAAAAACGTCTGNAGTGGTATAATCGTGTGAATAAAGTACGTCATTCCTCCTTAGAATATAATAAAAAAACTGGGGACGGATGTGCTACTATTTTAAGTGGAAAATATTAGAGTAGAATACATAATATTATTATAATATTATTTATTATTATTAAACATAATATTATTTAATTGGTATCTGTTCAGATCTGCTTATATCAGGTGTAACAGATATATTTAGGTTTCTGCACATTTTATTTTTTTAAACTTGTACAGGTTATGATGGAAATTCAGTTATAAATTATAAAACGAGAAAACTTGAATTTATTTTTTAAATTAATAAAATATAATATCAGAATATAAATACTATCATGTTTATCGTTATTAAATCTCTACACAGGAGAAACTGAGGTCAATAGCTTGCAAAATCTAGACGCAGTTTGATTTTATAATGAAAGATTGTGATAAAAACATTCAAATTATTTCAATATTTTTGGAGGACTTTGGAGGAGTTTTTGGATATCATTTGGCCCCTTAATATTCAATACTTTGAAAGTCCATGATGGCTTTGAGAAAAAATTAAGCTCTAAAAATATTATTTCATATCCCCCCCCCGCAAGAATAAAATCCTATATACGCCCCTGGATAAATATTATGGTAAATACCGAGTTCGGTCTGGTCAGCTCATTTATATAAGATTTTGAAGATAGTTATCTTAAACTATTTACACGATATTACAGTGCAACGTCCATACAATTTTCCACTAAAACTGTTATTTATAAAAGGGATGCATTATTGTAGTTTTTGTATTTTTACATTTTATGTTTGAGAGTACTAGCAGTGTTTTTTTATTTCTTTATTTTTTTATTTTTTATTTGTATACCTATAACACTTACACAGTTTATTTTTAAAATATTCAATTTTGTGTACTTATTTCAATATAATAAATTACAATAAACGGGTATAATATTACTTGTGAAACATTACAATAACAACTAATTTCATAGTGGACGTGTTCTTCTGATCAGTATCAATATTTCAGTAGAGTGTATATTTGTGGGAAAAACGATATTGTCTCTCACGCCTTAAGTGGCCTTCCCACCGAACGAAATTTAAATATTTTGCAAGGTCACAACGCTTAATAAAATAGTAAGACGAGATTTCATTGTAAAATTGAATGTAGTTAAAGCCTATTTTCGAGTCTCTTAAGTAACTTTTATTAATAACTATTATAATTAAGGTGGAAAAAATGTGTATTTGCATATTTGTTTACTAAACTAAGGAAAATTACACAATATTAAACAAATACGTGTTATATTTTCACATAAAGGTGAGACTATTTGATGGGAGCTGGCTGTCGGGTCTACATAAGTCAGCTTCCAAATCAACAGAGGTCAGCTTCCAAGTCAACAGAACCAACTCTAGAGCCATAACGGGCCGTAATATTACATAGATATCATTATAAAAAGGCGAATATCTATCAGTAATCTACGATAAAACAAGTACGAAAAACGTTTTTTTTATATTTTAAGTGCTATGAGGGTGAAAAAAATATATTTCTATATTTTCTTTTTCAGCGTAATGTTCATTGAAGATTATATGATGTAAAGTCAAATTAGAATTATTTATATTTGAATAACTTATATGTTAACAAAAGCGGATAGAGTTAGTTTGATTTAATTTGTAAAAAAGTAATTTGTAATTAGTGTTTGTAACATGTTGGGAGACTTAGCAATCTAATGAAGCGTCTTTATTTTTTTAGTATAGAGTTTTATAATGCGATCTTAGGTGACATAGGCAAAAGTTATGTATATTATGTACTTATCTTACTATTAATAGTGAGATAATTCGATGTCCCAGTTCAAAAAACCTTTTTTTCGGGTATAACGTTTTAAAAAAACGTACAATTTATGAAATGCTGTTAATAATTGTGAAATTGAGGTAGAATAAACAAACTTGGTATGCAGCATTGGCTTAATAGTCTGAATTTAATATTACCTTGCTTTTTTACTTTTTTTTACTTTACTTGATATTTTTATCCACAGACAATATCGTATTTTCAGTTTTTTTTTTCAATAATATTTTGTGCGATATAACCATAATATTATTCGAGAATAAGTATATATATATATATAAAGGATGATTCACTAAACGTGCTCATTCCATTTTAGATTCCAAGCGTAGCGAAACAGCTATTGGTTTTACAATGTTTATTTCTTTTTTTTCTTTGTTCTAGTTTGTGGATATATTTTTTCCTAGTAAACTTGTTCCGAGTTTTACGTGTCGCAACTTTTCTGAAATCTCAAGTTGTCTTGATTGTACTATAAACAGGTCATATTTTGGTTTTCGACGCTATTTTTTAAATAAAAGCACTTAAGTGGGAGAAAACGTAGGAAAACATACAATTTCACGATTTCATAATTTATAATAAAAACACGGACGATTTTTTCTAACAGAATAAATGATTAAATCGAAAAATCACACGATACCTTTTTGATATAATTTCTTACGGTCTCATCGCCAAAACTTTTCAGCAACTTTGAAGCTCTTAAGGAATTTTAATTTTCGTTTTTTGTTTTTAAATTTTTTGTTTTGAGTTTTTTTTTGTAAATTCATGAAGAGATTTGATACTTGGTAATAATAATTATATTGGCCTTACCTATACATGATAAAATTTTAAAAATCATCGAACGACTTTATTTTTTTAAATAAGCGTTTTGAAATTAAATTTAAACGAAATTCGTAAAAACAATTATGGCACTTTAAATTATGTATTTCTGAACTTATCACGTCTAGAAAATACAAGTATAAATTTTCTGTCCAAATTCCAAATCTCTACGAATATTTTTAATTGAATTACAACAAATAACAAATTTTAAAATTTATAAAAGCATTATTATCGAACATTTCCCATGTTTTTACGTTTTAACGTCGTTTTTCCCAGGTATTATGAAAACCGCTTGGAAAATCAAATGAATTCCTAAAAGTACCATTGAACAACATTCTCTTTCAGAATGGATGCCGCGCGTATATATCTGAGCAAGATTTATGATTGAATTTTTGTACACAGTATAAAAAAAATAATAATAAACTTCTTAGTAAAACTAATACATTCTTCGCTACACTCAGAATCTAGAAGAAACAAATCTAATAAAAATAAGTAAGGATAACAAAATTAATACAATTTATGATTAATAGATGGTAAAGCATCGAAACATACATTAATAAAACAAATATAATATAATTAATATAACACATATTATATTATATAAATTATTAATAGTACAAGTGCGATCAAGAGGGGCTGCGTAACCATAGTTAGTACTTTAGTAGCATGATATTTCGTTTTAAAACTTTGAGAATTTCTAGAATAAAAAAAAGAAACCATTAATGATAATTTGGAAAGTAAATCTGGGGCATCTGTCTTATTATTAATTAATTGCAGATTAATTCCGCAACAAAATAAGCACACTTTTATGCACATCATTATAGAATAATTGATGAAGTGACTAAATAATAGAAGACTATTCAAACATCGAACGAACTAAAGCCATATAGAGAGTGTTTAATGCGTAAATATTAGAGAAACCAAAAGTGTTACGATTTATAAACCCAAGCGTCTTTATTGATTTGTTACAAACATGATTAATATGATCTTTAAATTATAGATCGTAATGTAAGAAATAAATCAAATAATTAATAACGGGAACGAAAATTAAATATATATATATATTCAATTCCATATTTTTTTATCAAATAACATATATTTTAATGCGGTATTTACTCATCGTAAGGATATGATACTTAAGCTATCATATATAATTAAAATAAAATGTATTATCAATATTGTTAAATAATCATAATAATTTATAGCCATTAATTATTAGATTGAGTTGTTAGTATTAACCAGATTAAGATAATACATTTACACACGCACACACACATAGATCTCCAGTTATAAGGAGGCCGGCCACTTCTAATCAAACCTCAGTGTATGTATCGTTCCCGTTGCTTTTGGACAGTTGATCACAAGCGAGTGTAAAAGACTACGCACAGATTCTTACAAAAGCACGGAAAAATAGAACAGTGTTTTATATTTAAAAAAAAACTAATAAAAAAAAAAACAGTTGTTACATTAAAATCGTTTTATTTACTTCGGTCACCTTTATCAAATTCAACAGATCAATTTGCCGCCTGAAGAAGAAAGGTAATCAAATTTATAATTAACTTACACGTGTGAATCAATTTTATAGAATTAGGCTGACCCGTTATATTTTTGAATTACAACAAAGTGGCGCCCAAATAAAAAGCTCGTACCACACCTCCAAAAAATATATCGAACATATTATTAACTTAAACGTTTTATAAAATTATCAACCAACTAATAGGTAATTCAAAAATAAAAAAAACAAAAAATAAATAAATAAATAAATGTAAAAACTGTCAATAAAAATTATTTTGGCCGTGTAGAGATGAATCCCTCTAACCCAAATTTTACTCCGGTAGCAGAGAACGTATCGAATTTAAATCAAAACCAAATAGAAACAGAACTTATAAAAAGAGGGCGTATTACTTTAGGAACGCTATCCGAATTAAGGACTAGACTGTTACAATATCTCATGGGTGAATCTATACCCATTGATTTTACGAAATATAAAACACCTACTTCCAACCAAGCAAATGACAACGAAAAACCATAAAAATGACTAGTAAAAAACCATATTTCAAACCTGGAACATTCTCTGGACTAAATTGGGAAAATTTTGACTCTTTCATCAATAAATACAATATGTCCGCATCAATTAATGACTGGTCTGACGAAGACAAAATTCGATATTTCCCGGGTTTTCTAGAGAGTACCGCATTAAAAACATATGAAAATATACCAGATAACAGGGATATAAAATCTAAATGGTCAAATTTAGAAAAACATTATCGAAGACAATTCGAACCTACCGACCAGATTGACATTCTTCGTTCTCAATTAGAAAAACGGAAACAACTAGATGACGAAAAACCCATGGTATATATAACTGACATAGAATATCTATGCAGACGTGTCGACCCCTTAATGGCACAACAGGAAATAATACGCAATATTATGAAGGGCCTTAAATCAGATATTATTAGATATGTAGGTTTTATGGACAACAATACCGTAGAAAATCTTAAATATACTATTCAAATAATTGAAAAAATTGAATTTATGGGGAGTGGTAGGCTATGCAATCAATCACCATTAAAAACTAAGGAATCTATATTTAAAGAAGAAATCTTTAAAATAAGTGAAACTATAAAAACGTTAAAAGAAAATAATGAGAAACTAATAAAAGATTTACAAAATTCAACTATGACCGAAAATATTAATAAAATCACAAGTCAATTTAACGATAAATTTAATACTCTTAGCGAACAGTTTAAATCACANGTTACAAACATGATTAATATGATCTTTAAATTATAGATCGGTAGCAAAAATAACACCTAAATCTTTTATAGTAGAGAAAAGAACTAGAGGGGTGGAATTAATAGAATAATGAAAGTTTATAGGGCAATATGTTCAGAAAAACGATACATAATTTGCATTTATTAATATTTATAACAAAGCCATTACATGAGCACCATTCATAGAAATTATCTAGGCATCTTTAGAGATCTAGATGGTCAGAAGTATCATTTATAACATTAAATACCTTCAGGTCGTCAGCGAAGATCAAAAATTTGCAGGATGATAAGCAATGGGACACATCAATAATAAATACGTTAAATAGTCACGAAGAAAAATGCACACCTTGTGTGACACCTGAGATAACAGTAATGGGAAAAGAAGAATAATTATGTATATTTACAAATTGAAAACGAGAAGTGAGATTTGAGTTGAACCATGATAACAAGGGATCAAATACACCAAAAAGTTTTAGCCTTTATAAAAGGAAGCCATGGTTAGCGCTATCGAATACATTTTTAAGGTCGATGTTAACGACGTCAAATTGTAAAATAAATAAGCAAACTCATAAATAACAGTAGCTGCTAAATTAAATAAATTCCCGTAAAGCCTAAAATAATCATTAAAAACAATCCAGTTTAAAATAGGTAAGTTAAAATCACCTCAAATGATAATTTCATGATTAGGACACAATGGCACAATTAAATTTAAAGAATTAAAAAGACTAACATAAGATAACTATCATTATAACTTTTAGGTGGAAAATAAACACCAGCAATTGTTACATTTTAAATACTATTGCGGCCATGAGTAAATAAATGCTCAAAGTCGTTGCTGGACGATACAATAGACATTTAGAAGACAGTTTTTTTATTACACAAATTAGAAATCCACCGCTTAAACTAACACCGGCATTTATATAATTACGATCACATCTAATTCATCTAAATTTTCATATACCTTATGAAGAAAAACCCAAGTTCTGGGAAAAAGAAATAACTATTTAAACAAGTTTCAACATTAACATAAATATCATAGGTAAATAATGGATCATAGATAAGTTGTAATTCGAACAAGGTACGCATCCCCCTAACATTCAAAAAAAAGTAATTTGTGTTTAAAGAACCGTATATGTTAGTTTTATAAGTGTGTCTTATAAACAATAGTATTAATTAACGATATTTAAAATTGTAATTATTTGGAAAAAATCTCAGAGGTTTCACCGGATACGTATTTGGTTAAAGACATAAAGGTAATTAATTCAAGATATAACGGAAATTAATTAAAGATATAAAAGTAATTGATTAAAGATATTAAATCAATTAATTAAAGATATTAAAGGAATTAATAAAGGATAATTAAAATTAATTCCTAAAATATTTCGTATTGAATAATTTTTGTGGGCTATCGTAAATAGTATACAATTTTCACAAAGCCTATAACCGTTAATGTGACACAAACCGCATTGAAGGTTCCAATAAAAATTTTCCCGCGTTTGTGTTTTGTCTAAACTATGACTGCGGAATCATCGTAATTACCTCATTTCTCAATGATATCTGTTTTCGGAATGAACCTATTAAAGGGTTTGACGAACTTTTCACAGGTTAAACACATGAAATGACCATACTCGTGGCACTATGCGCATCGGACGGTCTCATAAATATTTTCCCGCGTTTGTGATATGCAGAACTTTAATTCATCAAATATGCGTGAATCAGCGCAATCACCTGAAACGCACGATTTAATCAATTTATTATCACTCGTTGTTGATCGAGATTCTCTTTAGAAAGAGGACATGTGGACGCGATGACACACTGATCATACATGTACGAGAACTATAGAATTATACTTGAAGAATACAAAATTAATCAGAATCACATAAACAACGTCTCTGGGCTTAGTTCTATATCAAATTTTACTTGGGCGTCTACTCTATGACTGCGGGATCATCGTAATTACCTATTTTCTTAATGGCATCTGTTTTCGGAATGAACCTTTTAAAGTGTTTGACGAACTTTTCACATGTTAAACCCATGAAATGACCATATTCGTGGCACCATGCGCATCTGACGGTCTCATAAATATTTTCCTGTGATGGAAATAAACTATAATAAATTTACCAGATTTACATGAATCATGATAATCTATTTGTAATTTATTTTTTTATTGTACATAAAGATGTCAGATAATCAATATTAACTTACCAATGGAATGTTTGCCTTTCCTTTTACATCTTCCACTGCTGCATTTAATGCGGACAGAGTGTTTTCCATACTCGGCTTTAATGATTTATTATTCTGAATTGTACCTAGTTGAACATTTTTCATTTAATATAAATAGTATAAAATAGGAAATATCAAACATACATTATACTGTACAATATAGGAAATTTAATACAAATCATACTGTACCTTGTAAACTTAGAGAAAATAAAATTTAGTGCATGTTATATTTTAATAATTTTGTTTTGATTACTAAAAAATGTAATTGTTATAGTATTAATATATTTAGGTCTAAGTTATGAACGAATTTAAATATTTACTAAATTCTTCATCTGTATTTCTTTCGTTATTAATCTGTAAATTACAACAATTTACAAATTATATTTTACTCTTAATATATTAACTAGCGTGTCTGTTATTTTTTAATTTAATTTTGTGTTCATTTTCACCCCCTAAATTCATGTACAAGAATAAATAAATAAATGACAGACAGTTTTGGAATAATATGGTAAGGTTAAGCCATGTTGACTTTAATTTAAAATTTAAGTATTTTAATATATTACCTACTCTCATTAATTATGGAAACGTTTATCATTTTTGTAAATCCCTCGTAAACAAATAGTAATATTAAAATGTATAATATTATGTATTTTAAGTACATTTTAATGTCCTTTAAATATTATTTTACTACACTTCTTGATATTTCTAGTTATTTATACGATATTTTGAATTTAGTGAACAAGGTTGATTCAAATTTTATGGAATGTGAACAGCACGTCACAGATTGTCAACATTACATCAAAAGTACAGTTTTCTCAAATCATCGATTTCGTGATGTTTTATGTAAACGTGCTTACATTATAAGAACCAAATTTCAAATGTATCTTCTTAATTATTTAACCGTTAATCAACGTTGAATGTCTGAGATTCGGGTAATGATAGGTTACCAATCGTTACCAGTAAAAATATAAATTTGTTTATTGGTAATCCAAAACTTGAAAAGTCAACAGGACATGAACAAGCTAATGCTTTTTATTGTGTGCTAGGAAATTCGGGTATATTTGATGTTTTTCGTGCTCTGTGCTGTGATACAACTGCATCTAATATAGAAAGGTGCGCTGAATATTGAATAGGTATCTAATATGAGATATTATGTTTTTTCGTTAATTACGTGTCGCCATGTACCTGTCTGCACTGAAACTTTTTCTTTAGAGAATTGTATTATCGAACACATGGTACTGTTATCAATCGGCGTAAGCCATATTTTCGATTTTCATCACCATGGAAACTACACGGGGTGATCAATCTATCATAAGACACTCATTATCTCGGAAAGTATTTACTTTTTCCGGAATTTATTTTCTAGAATATTTAAGAAACAAGTTGCTCTACAATTTTTTATGTATATTATTTTTTGGTCTCCTTTATTTTTAGGGGTAAAACTTTAAGCTATTTAAGGCAACCTATAATTTTTGATTTCCGTCAGTTCATTGACGAGATATTTTACTTTTAAGTTTAGGTTGTGAACTAGTGGAGTATCATTTGTGTGGCGGTACGACGCGCGGCGAGTTAATAATACACCACCACTCTCCCCAACCAAAACTTAAAAATGGAATATCTCGTCAACAGATAGACGGGAATCAAAAATTTCAAATCCAAAATTTATTTTAACTAATATTTCTTCTATTTATGGAATTTTTAATATAGATGGCCATTTGAAAACCAAAAGAAGTAGTGGTTTTACTCCTAAAAATAAGAGTAACAAAAAATAACATAAATATACAATTGTTGAACAGCTCGTTCCTTAAATATTCTAGAAAACAAATTCCGGAAAAAGTAAATACTTTTCGAGATAATGAGTGTCTTACGATTAATTGATTACCCTATTTACGGTACGTACACTTATATTATTTTTACTCCATTTAAGTTTTTAAATGTGTAAAACATTTGATACCTACTCATAGCGTTTAAAATGTTCTACAGTAATTAAATTAAATAAAAGTGATGCCATCAAACTGGTTTTCATATTTATATTTTGATTACCCGGTGTTGGTAATATGAAATACTTGTATGCATCTAATATGTTATAGTAGTTTATCTTATCTTATTTTAATTACGTTAAATAATTATGAAGTTAATTTCTACTATAATTGTACTAAAATATAATCTACTAAAATCTACTATAAAAAATGTTAAATCATCAATATTAAAAATGTACCAGGACTACTGGAATATTTTAATTTGTTCTTTTTTTTTATTGTACTAGTACTAGTGTTCTATATTTTCAACACATATTCTAAAATCGTAAAAATGTTTATTTTTACGATATGATTGTTTACTTTATTAAAATGTTAATTAATGTGTACAGATACCTACAAAAACTAATTCCATACTAATTTTTCTTTAATATGACATATTTGGTATTTGATTTGTATGATATTTGTATCCACAAAAGTAAAAAATAAAATTGTATTTCATATTCGGAGCATCTTTTTTCAGGAGGGTTAATGGTCCTTGCTTTTTATTAGAGTAAAAATTAGAAAGATACACAATTTACTTACCATGTCACCATCATATTTATTACGTGATATTTTTTAATCTGAACTTCCTCATATAACCTCAAGCTAGGATACCCCACTATTCAAAAAAAATTGAAAAATATCGATATCACTAATATTATTTCTGGAATAGATGACTTCAAGTGTTGCCTTGCGTTAGAAAATGTACGAAATGGTATTCTCCACTTTTCTCGAGCTATGTTGCAAAATAAATGTTTTAGAGATGACTACAAAGAGTTAATCGAACTATCTATAATTTTTTTGAATCATTTAAACAAAAAAATTAAAATACTTACACCTGGAGTTACTCCAGTGGAGTAATGCATCAAGCTCGTTTGATGAGTCGAGCTATTTATTGTTTAAAAATATATATTTTTCGAAACCAATATTCCATATCTTCTTTACAAAAGATAGCAATCTTTTGTGAAGAAGATCTTTTTTTTTAATCTTTTTTCTTTCGTAATATAGGTGTTTGTATTTATTATTCGATTTTATTTAAAAGCTCGATTCAATTGTGCAATTACCTATATGAAAAAGTACACTCAAGTATTTCAAAAGTTGCTATAAAAAAAATTAGTAATCACTTATGATACTTAACAAAAGAGACAGTTTAATACACGATTCCAAACGAAACCTGACTGTTATTGATATAAGCTCTTAAGAATAAACCAAATAGCAATAATTAATTACTAAACTAAACAGTAAACTTCTTATTCTTACACCGAATGATATTTGCAAAATGTTTTAGAAAGATCGTTAACCTCATTTATATCTAGAAACAGTATAAAAATGTGTACAGATTTTTTTAAAAAATTATCTAAGTCAATGGAATACTCATATCAATTATATATATGGAAAATAAATTGTATACTCATTAAATGTTATTAATGAAACAGCGGAAAGAGCAGTTAAACTTATGTAAGATTTGTATGGGTGTTTAACAAAATATAATGCAAAAACGAAGATGCTCTTATACTGTATTGAAGAACAGAGAAGACCAGGGTCTTATTAAGGGGGGTGGGCTACAGAGGGCTGTTAAAAGGGGGCGGCTAAATTTTTTATATATAATTCCATACATTTAATCTTCTTAGAACCTTATTCAGTCAATTTGTACGCATAACATTATTTTAATGTATTATTTATACTTTTATCACGACCTTATTTTTATAACCTATTATCTAGATAAGGTTAGATTTATAGATTTACTGCATTGTGGCGACATTCGTCCCGCAGATAAAGATAAAGAGATAGAGGCCTAACAAATATCTAGTACCTAAGATACGATCCAAAGATTAACAAACGAACTATCCATATGCTGACATTGCACTCAGAATGTTTTTGTCTACCCTAGCAACAAATTGAAGGGCAAAAACTCGACAATTCCATTTTTTTTTTTTTTTTTTTTTCGAAAATCAGATAATGGAGGTTTCTGATAAAAAAAAATTACGCATAGTTCGGTGAAAGAACGAGACAATTCTGACTAGCAGTTTCAGAAATATAGCGTATTAGGAGTTCTCTTATTCAAAAAATGTTACGCAAAAACGAGTTAACTCCGGATAATTTTATTGCAATAGGTATAAGAGTACCTTAATATTAATTTGTTTACTTCTTATGTCTGAAGAATAATGTATTTTGTTATATGTAAATAAACAAAATTGAAATAAATGTTATTAAAATATAGAATTTAAAAAAAAAAAAAAAAAATTAAAAAATTCAGACAATTATAAGAAAACTGTACTTTTACTCACCACAGTAAAAATATCTAGTAAACAATTGAAGATATCAATAAGTATATTAGAATAATATTTAAAGAAAATTAAAATGTAATTAAATACGTATTATAATACGTTTCGATATTCCTATCCGTTTACGAGGAATTTACAAAAATAGTAAACGTTTCCATAAATAATGAGTAGGTACTTATATTAGCATACTTAAATTTCAATTTAAAGACGGCATGATCTTAACAGACTGTCTCAAAATCGTCTGTTGTTCATTTTTTTATTCATATACATAAATTAAGGGGGCGAGACGTAAAAATATTAAATAAATTATAATATATCATCTGTGTATAAGGGACACCTTAATATAGATAGGTAGGTATTAAAATCAAAATGTTACCAAAATATAGCCATTGGTCTTAGTACCAATTAATGATTTGATATTTCGAAGCGCAAAATGATCATACTTTCCATTTGTATACATCTTTAAATGATTGATTATAAAAAACCTTGGATAATGAAAATGTATAAAAAAATTTTTTAAGCAAACAAAATACTTTTTAATGTTATTTTTTTTGCTAAATCGCTAAGTTGCATTTTATATCTATAATGTTTACAATTTATAATTGTATTAAGTAGCCAGAATCAATAAATGTTTGAATAAATGGATAATGTACATTATGGTTTTTACGCGTTGAAGTTACTTTTCCCGAAAATGTTGCAAATATAATAGATTATACTATTATATAAATTGCGTCTTGATTACCTATGTATTATAATATATAGATAATCTATATTAAAGTACCTAAACGTCTCACTAGATCCACGGCTTCTTTTTATGTCCCTCGTGCTACTATCAACTTGTTTAGCTAATAAACCAATGAGAAGGTTGATGTCGAACGATAGTGTGGACACTAGTTTTAGATTCCGAGCGTAGCGATTGAGCTATTGGTTTTACAATGCTGTTTATTTATTTTTTCTTCTTTGTTCTAGTCTGTGGACACGTTTTTTCCTAGTAAACTTGCTTCGATGTATAAGTGTAGAACATTTTCTGAAAGCTCAAGTTGTCTAGGTTCTACTTTAGAGGGTCATTTTTTGATTTTCGACGCCATTTTTCAAATAAAATTACTTAAGTAAGTGAGAAAAAAAGTAGAAAACGTAAAATTTCACGATTACATTGTTTTATGAAAATATAAACGACGTTTTCTACCAAAAAAAATGATGTAATAGAAAAATCACAAGACACCTTTTTTGTTGCCTTTTTGATTTACTTTCTTACGGTATCATTTTCAAAACTTTTGAGCCACTTTTGAGTTTTCGAGAAATTTCAATTTTTTTGGAGTTTTTTCCTGTAATTCAGTTATAAATACACGTAGATTTAAAACTTGGTAATAATACTTATATTGGACTTCCCTAGACGTGGTACAAATTTTCAAAATCATTGGACGACTTTTTTTTTTTTTTAATAAACGTTTTGAAATTAAATTCAAACGAAAATCGCAAAAAAAATTACGGCACTTTAAATTATGTATTACCAAACTGCGCTCGGAATCGTCTTTCATCAGCAATGGTTTATCGTTGCTTAAAGATATAAATAAAATAACCTTATGTATCCTACCTTCCCAACTTCCCACCTACAACAGTGGTTGCACCCGTCCCCAGTATCAGCTCTTTTGTTTTTTTATTTCTTCGACGCTTTTCAGGTTTTAATGAATTTAACATTAAAATTTGTTTGCCGATTCTTTATGCATGTATAGAAAATCGAAAATTATTACTTACAAGGCCCACGGCCACTCAATGTCCATCAGGACCCCTTTTGGCTACCTGATAACCACTAACATTGATGTATTAATTTTTTTCGAACAAGACTTATCGGAATATAATAAAATAATTAAAATAATAACAAATCTCGGTATATATGCTTGTAAATTTTAATAAAAATATTCTTCTTTTGATACTCAACGTCTTTAAAAATTTCATAAGAAATAAATGGATTGTACAACTCGATCTATAAAATAATAATAATAACTATTTACACGAGATTAAATAAAGGTATAAAAAAAAAATGATTTGTCCATTCTAAAAAAAAAAAAAAAAAATAATAATAATAATAATAATAATAGTACAAATAAAGTCTAAAAGAAAAACATTCTAAACATTTAAATAACAAGAACATCGTATAAAAAAAGGTATAATATAATAAAAATAAACCGTAGTTATCGGTGTAGTGAAAAATTATTTACACGATAAAATATATTATTTACTTTATAATATTAAGTTTATCTTATTAAAATGATTTTGGTATAAAATAATAATTTATGGATCGATAATAAATAAATAATCTGTAATTGAATTTAAAAAAAAAATGTTTTGTTTTTTTTTTTTTGTCTGTATAAATTTGAGATTAAATGTTGAACACAATGAAACTTTCTATATAATAAACCGAAATGCTTATTATGGTGAAAAGAAAACCCGTGGCATTATTTATTATACTGCAGGTTTTCTGATATAGATATAATTAGAGAACATATTTTATAGACTAAAACGGTTTGATAGATAATGGAAACTGTATAATAATTATGACGATTCATTCCATAAGAAATACATTTGCATGAAAAAATAGGTTTTTTTTTGTATTTAAGTTTATTCCTTAACTTTTTAACGATTAAAAATTAATTGTTTACAAGTTTTTACTTATATTTGTACGCAAATATTATTCATAGATGTTGTTTTGATACAGTTTTTTTTTTGCAGAATTGTTCTTATCACAGATGAATATTCTCATATCAATGAACTTTAAGAGTTAGAGAGAATATTATTTGACACAGTTTTTTCACTCAAATTGTTCTTATCCACAAAATTATCATGTTTTATATTGGTTTAATTTATTATAATTTATGGTTTTTCAAACATTTTGAATTTTTCTTTGTACCTAATAAATTAATTTTTTAACAACATTATGCTTCTCTTTTTATTCCAACATAAAACTTTCTACAGTTGTAAATTTTGTTGAAGACCAAATGATTTTTAAGGGGAAAAATTAATTTAAAAGTGGGTTTGTTGTGAGCTTTAGTTATTCGTCCGTCATTGGGGGTTTAAGTGGCCTGCAAGCACAAGCTATAGTATGAAAAATAAACTCTATAATGTTAAGGTAAATAATCTATAACAAATTTTTGAATTATCATTTTAAAAATGTCTATTCTTATTCATAGATATTTTTTAAAGATATTCACAAGACTACATGTATATGTCCAACTGGTCTTACAAAATACTATCATATGGTTTCTCTACTTCTTCATGGGCATACAAATATATCTGTAACTGATACAATACCTATGCATAATTTTGTGTACAAATATAAGTGAAAACTTATAAACAATACATTTTTAATAGTTAATAAGTTAAGAAAAAAACTAAAAATTAAAAAAATTAAAGTACTTTGTGCCCGTGTATTTCTTGTGGAATGAACCGTGAAAACGATTTATTAAGAACCGTTCATAATATTATCATCAAATTTTCGTTATCAGACAATTTTAGTCTATTGTTATAGTGAAAGAGTGACCCCTCTTTCGGGTTACGTTAGCTCAGGTTATTCAGCTTATCACGGTTTAAACGGACTTCCATTTTGTCTCCACGGACAAAATTATTATACTATCAACTGTTATCAATACATTATTGTAATAGAATTTTGCGATAACCATTGAAATATTAACGGTAATATTATTATTATTACTGTTATAGTATAACTACCGTATAGAACTATAATATTATATTATTATATACCTAATCCTAACGGTAGATCGACGTATAAGACACGTCAAACAGTATGGCGGCCCGCGGATACGGATAACACTGATAACCGGGCCAACCAGTAGGAGCGCATAATCAAGCGTCCGGTCACTCTCTCGCTATAATGCTTAATATAAGCTCTCAATACCTAATCGCATTTTCGTGGGGAATTTTTTTTTTATATAAAAAAATATACCTATGTATTTGTTTAAACGTTAAAATTGTTGAAAATTGAAAATATCGTTCTCGCTGTTGCGGGCGATCTTAGTGGTCGTCCGCCGTCGACGGCATGCAATATCCGCTGTATGTCCTGATGTTCTCTTCCGAGTAATTCTTGCTCTGTATCACCCCGACATCGGTGTGATGCGACGGGCACGCGTGCTGCTGCGGACACTGGCACAGAGCGTTGGTGTTCACTTCGTCCACCATCACCTGTCGCTTGCGCACGGTGAACAGCCGACAGGGTTCCTTACGCTGACACCGGATCCTCTGTGGGGAAAAAAAAATGTCGGTAAGACAATGTCACCAATAAAAAATCGTGTACTTGTATACACGCCGGGTGTGTCGATCGGTCGTTCGTCGCGGAATGCTGGTCATAAAACGCCGATAAAAAAACATAATGTTATCCATCACGCAGAGAACCCTCTTCCTCCAACCCCCCCCCCCAAAAAAAAAAAAAAAAAATAAAACCCAAAACGGTTTAAAATAGCTATATGAAATATGACTAAAAACAGAACGTGGGAACTATCAAAAATTGCAATAATTATATTGTAACCGCGTCTATAAAATTGCAGTTCATATAATTAATTTGGAGAAAATGTCACGATGTTTCTGCGATCGTATAATAATTAACAGAAATCGTTTTTGCGTAAATATTCCCGGTTTCCTGACGTTTCCATTCGTTACTTAAAAAAATCGAAAAAACCGCCTCCCTAACGCATCGAAATTCTCTATGCAGAAAAAACCAACCTCGATATCGTTAAACGAAGAACAATTTTTGATCAAAATTTGTTCAGCAACAAGGACAACGGAAAAAGCTTCGCCTATTATCTAAAAAATATTGTAATCGAACGCCCTACGTACTGCGGTATAATTGAATTGGTTTTTCGTCCCCCTATCGGAAATTTAATCCTGACGGTGGTTTTTTTTTTTTTAATTCGATTGTACGGCACTATATTGTTTTTCCTATTATATTAGGTATGTTATTATAGCTTACAGAGACTGACACCTCGTGTCGATTCAATGCTCCCGGATCCTCTGCAAGAGAGTCAACTCGGCGTCATCCGATATACATAGTATTAAACCCTCGTTATGTTCATCCTAGTAAAATTCGGCTTACAAGCATCCGACGGTGATGTTTTTCCAACGGTAAAAATATCATCAACTTTCACGTACCAAAAACTGCAGGCTTACAAATATTCGGAACAAAAAACTTTTCTATATTCCGGCTCGCTCTCTATATATAGGTACCGGGTGATTCTTTTATCGTTAAACATTCAATATATCGAAAAGTAATGACTATTTTTCAAATTTTTTTTTTTTTTTGTCACCCTTATTTTTGGGGGTGTTCCGTAAATCCGTTAACTAGATATTCCACTTTTTAGTATGGGTCGGAGGAGAGTAGTGGAACATCATGCACATAATTTGTGTGGCGGCACAGTGAGCGGCGTTTTAATAATACACCACTACTCTCCCCCGACCCATACTAAAAAGTGGAATATCTAGTTAACGGATTTACGGAAATCAAAAAATTCAACACCAAAATTTATTTTACTAATATTTCATCTAACTGTGGAATTTTTCATATAGTTTGTCGTTTGAAAATAAAAAGTAGGTAGGTACTGGTTTCACCCCCCGAAAATAAGAATGAAAAAAAAATAACGTGAAATATGTAAAATTTTAAAGCCGTTTTTTCTTAAATATTCTAAAAAACAGATTCCGAAAAAATTAAATACTTTCCGAGATAATGTTAGTGTTTAACGATAAAAAAAATCACCCGGTATACGTTATGCGGTCATTTGAAGTTGCCATTTATTTTAATTACTTCAAATGTTTGAAAGCGGTTAGGTTGAATTGTATGCGTTGGTACGCGTACCCCGTTCAATTGTTTGTATTATTTCATTCGGACAAAAGTCACTAACATTACTTTTTTATTGATTTCAATTTCAATTTACTCTTAATCGTAAATCCTTTACTACCGACAACACCGTTGTCTGCGTGCATGTTTAGGTATACGTATTACCATTACGTACGTATAAACATATATCATATTATTGTGTTAGCGAGTTGTTCATTTTATAATATTTCGTGCGCAAGCGAGTTCCGGGTATTAACTGAGAAACGTTAAAATGTGCGCAAACTAATTGTAGCCAAGACAATAAAACCTAATCTAACCTAAAAACTTCAGGAAAACCTTTGGGTGATGCTGAGCCCTGGTTTGATATATTGTCAACGGAGGCTGCGGCCATGGAGCCCTCCCCGCGTACTCGACGCCTATGTCCCAGCGTCCTATAAAACCCATTCGATATAGATAATCACGACGTGTCTAGAGAAATGGGTGGCCGGGAGAAATTTAAAAAAAAAAACACACTCACGTCGTACAGATAGGACACGAGAATATTCGGACGTATACATGGTCAGGAATCGGGATAATACGAAAATACCGATGGGCGATATTTAGTTTCGTCGGTTTATCGGGGATATCCAGAGTGCGTCCCGTTTAACATTTTTACTTTTTTCATAACCCGAGTGCGTCCGCAATTTTATCGATGAATTAAAGTGTGGCCCCTGATTTACGAATGCGTATACCGAACGTAACATTGCGCGTAATAGTTATTACTGTGGAAGTATGTTTAAAGATGATAACAATCGAATAATGAAATCACTCAAACCAATACACGGTATTAATTTTAAATCGTTTTATGTTAGTAAACATGTTTAAGCTTTTACTTATGTTTATTTCGTGTTGATAATTTTTTAGCGCACACGTATTAGATATAAATAGCGTAAACGTGTAAGGTAATTAGTGACAGTATAGTGTGTAGAGAGCTACGTCCCGCCACAGGTTTCAATTGTTTTCGTTATGAAAATCTATTAACTCTATCGATCGAATTAAAAAGCGTGGCCCCGTGAAATCTAACGCATTTTAAGGCCCTGAATAACTGGTGTACACTGACCCGCCCGACCAGTGCTGCGGCCGGTGTCAGGTATTTGTACCGGAACCGCAACACCCGCGACGACGACGACGGACCGCACACCGGCGTATATCGCCAAGTTTAAAAAAAAAAACAAAAAACTAAATACGATTAATACAAGACGAACACGAACACTTACGCTCTGCGGGGAACACGCGAACGAGTACTGGTATCCGATCTGTTTGGACTCGGTCTGGTACGCTTGCCGCTTCAGCAGATAGGCAACCGAACCCTTTGGACAGTGACAGTGGACGATCTGCAGCGTCCCGTTTCCTTCGCTGCGCAACGTCCACGCCATGTCGCGGAAGTAACGGCACTTGGGCAACATCTTGATCGGCTCGCACAACTGTCGGCATGAAAACGTGCACGGTTTTAAAATACAATATTGACGCTTGGCGCGTCCGGTGCGACGTGCGAGCGCGGCGCCTAACCGATTTCGGTGTTCGCGATTATTGTTCGACACTATTCTTCCGTGCGTAATACAACGGCGGATCGTCCCGCGAAGTCATTACAACACGGACGTCGCGAGAGCGTTAATTTTCGTTTTACCCGTGTTGCCGGAAGCGAACCGACGTACCACGTCCACTGTTGGTTTCCGAACGGCGACCCGCGTTGAAAACACCCCGAACAGACGCGGCAATATCGGTCTAAATACGTTTCGGCGCGGAAACCGTCGGTTCCCGTCGACCCGTTGACGCTCGATATTCCGCTTCTCGAGTTCGGACAGTGGCAGGCGGCGCCTAACCGCCCCACACTTGAAAGCATGAAATGTCTTGTCGACGACGGGCGGACGGAAATCAAAAATTGTCAACGCCAAAACGGACCCAAACCGAAACACCGTCTATTCGTCGAATTTTCGTTCGCAGCATGCACGCGGGCCGTTTGAAATACAAACGTGTAAAGTCGGTCGGCCGGCTTGAAGACGAGGGCGACGGAAAGTGAACGGCAACGCAGGTCTTTCCGGGACATCGCAATACGTTCGTATTTCCGCGGGTGCGCCCGGCCGCGGAGGGCGGTTCGTATTGCGCAGGTTCGTCGCCGAAAAAAAAAAAAACGATTTCGCGAAAGGGCTTCCCCGGCCGGCGGCGCGGCCGGAGTTGGCCCGGTCGGATCGCACAGCCAACGGCGTCATTCTTACCTTGAACTGCCTCGTTTTGTCGGTGATGGTGTGCCCGTCGGCCGGCGACAGCATTTGCGAGCACGGCGGCCCGCCCGACGGACACCTGCACTGCCTCTCCACCCACGGCCACTGGTACATGTCCACCTTGCTGCACACCGCCCACTTTTCGCACACCGGCAACTCTTCCTCCGAGCTCTGAAACGTTAAAATATCGCGCGCGCGTTCAATTAATCGCGTACGAAATGTCAACTGTACGGGAAACGTGTTATTATTCTCGAGAAACCCGCGAATCCGCCGGGCGCGGACCGTGATAAATATTTGTGCGGGGAGGGGGAGGGGGAGAGAGGAACCGCGCGCGTATCTGTGCGTAACTTTTTCAACTACGCAATAACAATGTACGGCCGAATGCAATGTGCAGACGACTGCAACAGTGTCGCGATACTGGAAAACGTTAGAGCAAAGGGAAAACGAAATATCCTTATAGATTTCGTCCGACAAACTGCGTTGTTATTACTGCCGCGTCCGTTCGCGTATTGCGTGTCGGCGTCACTGTTGTCGTGTACAGAGCGGTGCGTTATGCATTCTCTTTAATAAAAATTTGCTCAATGTCGTACCTACCTATTTTCCCCGTTTTTCCCGTTTATCGGGAAAACTCTCGGAATGATCACAAAAAAAAAAACGACCTGCTTAGAGTACCTCCGCAGTCAGATTTCGTTCGGAGCAAAGGTCGCTGGTCGAAAAGACGTCCACAGAAAACAAAAAAAATAACCATCATCAAAACCAACACATCCCTCGCTGCGCTCGGAATTCAAACACACACCGCGCGCGCGCACAAAATATCATTCGCGTTGTATTCGTACGCGAACGTTGTTCGTTTCCTTTCGCGTCGCACGGGCGTGTCCGCGTAAACGCCGGGCGCTAAATCACTATCGCCGGTGTCCAATATACACAATAACGTAGACACAAAACTAGATTGCCCTGTATTGGATATATTGGGTGGTCGATTCCGCGTGCTTCGCAATTTCGAAAACCGAAATCCCGCGCGACAGACGTGTGTGACACTTACTTACGCGGTGTGCCGCGCGTAATCGTTTTCATAACGTTTCCCCGGCAAGGAGCCCGTAGTGTGGACAACGAAAAACCTTAAACCGCCATTTAACGATCGGGCGGCGAAAAAAGAACCTCGTGCGGTGAAAAAATGGAGAGACTGCTGAACGCGAATGCGGATGCGTAGTGGACCGACGACACGTGCAATTGCATTCTGTACAGAATGACCAAATCGAAACGTGAGAGAAGCGACACCGAGAACGAAACTGATTAATTATCGGATCCAAACAGGAATTTTACGTAACAAACTGTAGAAGTAGACCAACGATTTACGAGTTCAATAAATTTCTCAACAATGTCCAAAACATCTGTCGTATCCGTCGGTGACTTATCGTTATTTTATAATCGGCTACGTAGTAAATAGTACGAGAAAAACGCGCGCGTTGGCTCGCATATTTTTTTTATTGTTATTGTTATTTTTAATTTTTTTTTTTTTTTCAATCATATTACGCCCGCGCCACCGAATAATTGGAATGTTTTTATAAGAAAAATAATATTATTATTGTTGTTGTTATTATTCCGATGCAATAATAACATTATCGATGTGACGTCGGTCGTCGTCTTGGGTACGTTATTACGTCATCTCCGCGGTATGTTTTCGCGTTGCACATGCACATTTCGATCTCTCGACAGTGTTTTTAATTTAATTTTTTTCGTTTTACCCCTCTCTTTCGTTCTCCCGATCGCTCTCTCTCTCTCTATCCGAAATTTCCGTCACAATATACGCATCGGCGATTAAAAACTGCAGATTTGGCACCGGTTCAAAAAAAAAAAACGATATTCAGCGCATCTGTTGCGCAACACGAGTGTAGGTTGCGAAAAATAAAACGCACACGTGGAAAATAACACAATAATAAATTACAATAATAGCATAAGTTTTCGGACGATTCTGTGTGTAGCGAAAAATCTACGCGATACGGCTTTACTGAGACGTGTGCGGGTTTTTTTTCTCAAAAAAAAAAAACACTTTCGGTTAATAATAAAAATGTCTCTATTTTTTTTTACGCCGTTAAAAAATGCGGAATTTCCGCCCTGCAGTATTTTCACGCGAACAACTGTTTAGATTTCCAACGGGTTTACGGAAAAAAAGTTAAAAAATACGTAAACTGATGGCGGAAACGTCCGATTTGGATTGGTTTTATTTTTGTCAACTTCGTTCGTTTCTCAGTTACCTTAATGGCTATGTAAACAGGGAGTATGTGTGTGTGTGGGTGGGGGGAAAGACGCGACTAACACTATAATTTACGGAGCTCGCGTTCGTTTTTCGGTCGCAATGGTTTGCCGCCGCTATCTGCGGTACGTACCCGAAGGCACGCAAACGTAATTTTGCAGGGGAGGAACAAACACGGTTTCGTGGATTTTTGTCGTAAACACACGTGTAAAATACCCGTGTATTTTTTTCGTAAACACACGTTTAAAGATTATGCGATGTAAAAAAAACTATACACGGATATGTGAACACGAGACCTGTACGAAAAGTTCGGTTATGTGAATAGGTCCATCACGAACGAATCGATGACCATCCGGCGTGTCAAAGCCCAACAAGAGTGATTTTTGGGCGGGTTCGGATAACATCTCCCTTTCTTGCACCCCATCCCCACCCCCACCACCCCGCAAAAGGGCGCCCGTAAACCGCATTATCCCGCGTGTGATCCGCGTGGACATTCCGCCCGCGACAGTGTCCGCGGTACTCAACGGCGCGCGATACGCGCCGGCGTCCGGCTTTTGTGCCCACCGTCGATCGTTTCACGCACATTCCAACCCGTCCGTTCGCTTATGCCGTTTTTGTCGATACCGTTTCGGGCACATATCGGTGCGCGTCTTACGCGCATAAAAACGGCGTCGAACAAACGTGTTGCGGTTTAAGAATAAGAAAAAAAAAAAAAATCAAATCTCGACAGCCCGAAAATTCCGACGGACGATCGCGGCCGCTGTAAACACGCGTCGTTACGCCGCCCGTTTGCCGATCGTTTTCCGATTAGATTAACGACGAAAACATTCGAATATTATCTCGGTGGGATTTTACGGACCGCATACCGATACCGCAATTACGATTTTATACGCGCGGTGCCCGGCAGTCACGTATTTTTTTTTTTTTTTTTTTCATCAATCGAAATTAGAAACGTGAATCCCGCGTCCGTGTTATTATTTTAAAGCGCATATTTTTTACTCCGTACGTGTGTTTTTTTTTCCTCTCCGCATAATATCAGATTTTGTTATTATTATTATTATTATTGTTTTTTTTATTTTTTTCATCAATCGAAATTAGAAACGTGAATCCCGGGAAAAAATCCAACGCAAATAAATTCTCCCGATGCAAAAGAGTACGTTTTTATCGCTGGATCTTGTTCCGAAATTCAAGGTCGTCAACTACACACTACCTAACCAACGGATCCGCCGTTCGATTTCACCGCGATTTGTCTGCCGTTTCATATCGGTTCTTACATTTGTGTAGTGATTTAAATTTACGCCAGGGTGCCATGAGGTGCCCGTTTTATTATTATGTTTTAATGGCACAGAGGAAAACCACTGCAATCCTAAAATATACGACCGAGTTCGATTGTCCAACGCAATTTGAATACAACGGTCCAACCGCGGGCAACAGTGTGTCTGGATAAATTTTTTTTTTTTTTTGTATTTTTCTTTTTATATTTACAGCGTAATCGATCGTCGACAAGCGGGTACGTTTACTTTTCAGGCTGCTTTTCGAACATCTTGCGAAACGGATAGCCCTAAAATGACACATCGCCGTTGCTGCTGTTTGTTTTTCTCGTTTTCGCGTGTGGGATACCGCGGTGAGTATGCAAAAACAGAACCCGGCCGGGGCGTTATGATGGGTATCGGTCGGGGAACAACAATCCGAGTTCGTCCGTCTCGGCGAGATAATACGCGCGGCGCGCGGTCCGGTGGGCAAACGGGAAAACGCCGGCGGGAATGAAAGAAAACGGTAGTTAACGGAATCGCATACTGTCGGTTGTGTAATCTACGTTGTTACAATGTCACGGGGTTAGACGACGTGTGTGCGGGCCGTGACAGACCGTGCATTATCGTTATCATTATTATTATTGTCCCGGCGGCCCCGCTCGGGACGGAGAGCCGAGGGGCCACCGCCGATAACACAACATTACGTTATGAAACGGGGGAGGGGAAATAGAGTAACGAGTGTAACGCGAAGAAGAGAAAAAACCTCCCGTCGTCGTTATCGCGTCTGAAACCGTCGTTCGGGTCGATAGGGATTTTTTTTTTTTTTTTGAGGAAAGAGAGAAAAAAAAAATTAAACAAATATTATACGCGCATATTATAAATACGCGTTGCGTAACACATCAAGCACCTACGTGCGAAACGCCTTCAATAAACAACTTCGAACTTATATAATATTGTTTGCAAACAACTGCGGCGGCGACGGCGGGACGAATATTATCGAACAGATGGTGTGCGCGTCGTCGTGACGACGGAAATCTCAGAGAAACGTCGGAGGAGAAAAAAAAAAAGAAAAAAAAAACGGAATATCCTTATAATAATAATAAAAAATAACGTATAAAACAATATACTATACGTGTAATAGTAAAGGTACGCGGGAAAAAAAGATGAAAAAAAAATAAATAAATAAATAAAAAACCAGACCGTAACGGATGCGACGGCGGCGTACGTATACGCCGCCGGCGCGGTCGTACGACGGGAAAACCGGACGGAACGTTGCGCACGCGCGTATTTTATTGAATCGTCGTCGTTGATTTTCATTGATGACAGCCGCGGCGTAAAAAGATCTGTGCGTACGTGTTCTTGTGTGTGTGTGTGTGTGTGTGTACGAGAACGCGCGCGCGCTAGAGTCTATGAATGGACATCACGTCTACCGTGTCTTGTGCGTCGGAGGAGGGAGGGAGCGTAGAAGGGTTTCCGTGCCTGAAAAATTGTATTTTTTCCAGCAGCGGATGCTGTGGACCGTGCGACGAGCGTTAGGGGCGGCGGCAGGACGTCGTGATTCGGAAGGGAACCGCGCGCGGTCGTCGCCGGTCCGTGACGGACGGCCGAGAGAGATCGTCGAGCGGCGGCGGTGGCGGAGCGCGCGCGTTGTGGATCGCACGTGACATTCCATTCACGGAACGGTCGGGAGCGCGCGCGTCGCCCGCGATCCGTCTCTTGTATATTATTATTATTATTACTATGACCGGTTCGCGCCGTGTCCGCGGTCGACGGGGCGCAGGGGCGTCGAAGGGTTTCCGTGCATCGCTCGGAACTGGTTTCCCCGCCCGACCCGCGGTACACAATAATATATAATCCGTGTGCGTGTGTCGTGCAGCAGCGCTCGGTGCGCGCCAAAAAATCATAAACGGAAACGCGACGTCACGGTCGGACACCGCGCCGCCGCCGCCGCCGCGGCTCACCTGTTTCCACTGTAGCAGCCGCGGGCCCACCTGTTTCCACTCGCCGCGCCGTCGCGGTCTCACGTCGCGCGCGCGCCAACACGACGACCCATCAATCACCTGTTGTTGCCGCCGCCGCCGATTGACAACTCGTGTATAATATTATACGCATACGTATTATTGTTACTGTATAGGTATTATTGTTGTTGTTGTTGTTGTTGTTGTCGTTGTTGTTGTAATAACGTATATGCGCGCACCGGTCTCGTCGTATCGATGCCCCGTCATTCACAATAATAATAATAATAATAATATAATATTGTTGTCGGCGAGAAAACGCGATCGTATTATATTATTTGCATACGATAGGCAGGCATACAATAATAATAATAATAACAATAATATAGGAAGTGCGCGGCCACCGGCCGTCGACGGTATTTCAATGCGGCGGCGGCGGCGACGACCGTGGGAGAATTTATTTTTTCCGCGCGTAAACAATCGGGCGCAGAAAACAACGACGCGTCAGGGGGACGACGCGGTATAATGGTACGGCCCGGGGGTGGTAGGACGAAGAGGAACCGGGCCGGACGCGCAGGTTACGGGCATATGGCGGCCGCGCGTAGCTCTACAGTGGTGATGATCGCGCGACGGCGGCGACGCGGTGTGCGTATTATAGTTAAAACGCGCGCGCACTGGGTCCGCCGAGTCGAACATTAGACGTCGTCCCTGTCCGTTACGGGACAGCGGCGGCGGCAGATGTTGTCGCCGAGGTTTCGAGGTCGCGATTACGCGGCGGATTCCCCGCGATCGTACGGCGAGTGCGCACGGTCCGCCCGCGTAGGTGTGCAGGGGTTCCGACGGGGTTGGTTCTTTCCCCGCGCGCCCGATAACGCAAACGAACACGACGAAAGCGAACGTTCCGTCACACGACGGTGGCGTGTTTATAGGATTTTGCCGGGCGGGCGACATAGTGCTGTTGTCGAATTCGGAAATCGCTTCGTATTCAAATACGTGTACCACGGGTTAGATTGGAATAAAATAAAATAAAAAAAAAATCAATTTTCCGATAGTTTTTTTTTTATGTTTTTCGGGTAAATAATCATTCACGAGTATTTACTATTTAGATACATTTAGCTACTGATCTACAGTGGCGTGCTCGGGAATTATCAATGGTATGGGAAGTAGCTAATACGGGAATCGTGAACGAATCGTAAATTCGTCTTCTCTGCCCAACTCGACTGTGGGAATTGATAATTTGAAAGATGTAATAATAAGAAAGACCAATTTCTAAACGATACGTCAAGTTTTTCCTCGTGACTTGGCTGAAATGTACATGCATTTCGATAATAGATTACTCGTATTTTTTTTTTTTTTTTTTTTTGTATGGAAGGGATATAATCCCTAACCTCTCTCCCCTGCGTACGGCACTGCTATAATCTAACCTCCTTCTTAACTTATAGTGGTTCAGATAGGTTTCGTTTAAACCAAAAACCGTACGTACGGTTTTTTTCGATACATCAACTATATACAGGTATCAGCACATTAAGTTGTGGATTTTTTTTTTTTTTTTGCAACTAAGTAATAAAGAAACTTCAACATAAAAACAGGTGTCGTTTATATATTAGATACCTAAAAAAAAAAAGTAAAGATGGATAATATGTCTCGCTAATCTCCCCCGTAAATATACGCCGTTGATTCGCGAATCGTATACTTGATCGAAAATAAACTTCGATTTTTATGCAAAACCATACCATTCGATACCATTATTCATACCATGGATTCCGAATGGATCTCTTATAGTTTGTTCCCATTCCGAATGTTTATAATATTTGACGCGGCGAACCCACCCAGGAACCCCCGAAAACGGTGTTCCTTTATGATATTTGTATCGTATCACCGTCTCAGATCCGGTCTCGTCCCTTCCGTTTCGCCGAACCTGTTGCTGTAACAGTGCAATGCTAACAAAGTATGTCGCGCAATAATACGCAAAAAGCATTTTTCCGCCCCGCGAATCCCGGAATTCTCACGCGGATTCCCGATGATTAATACGCTAAAACCGACAAAACGGACGATTGATTTCGGGGGTTTTGCGCGGGGGCGGTAAATAAATCTCGGTACGAAATACTGTGAATAAACACCGGGAACAGTAGGTATACGAAAACAATCGACGGTCACTAATATTATTTATCGTTTCAAACTTAACGGCGCGCGAAAAACATCGCACGAACAATGATAATGTCGGTCGGGCAACGATAATCGGTTGGGTCGTAGTCGTCGTATTTTTTTTTCCCGCGTTTATTACCCGCATTTTCTTAAAATATTACGCTGCTTGCGCCGGGTAATAAAGGTGCGTGCGTTTTTGTGTTATAAACGTGTGTATTATTTTTTTCGACGACGCCCACTCTGTGGCAGAAAAAAAGAAGACCGACACGAGTCTGCGGGACGGAGGAATGCGAGAGAACGATAAAAAAAAAAAAAAAAAAAAAAAAACCAAAACAAAACGCTACGAGATAATAATATGACGTTTCGGGTTTGTAGAAGTGAAAGAAGAAGGAAAAAACGACGACGGCGTATCCGTTTTAGTACTCTCGCGCGCGTCGTATTTATATTTAATAACGATAAATCGGTGCGATTAGTTTTTTCCCCCCCGGTCCGTCTTTTGTACGCGTTTTATATGCGGGGCCGTGTCGTCGTCGTCGTCGTCGTCGTCGTCGGGATACCGCCCTCGCCCGCCGCGCGTATATACCTATACGTACGGGAAAAAAAAAAAAAAAAAAAAACGGGAAATGACAGGTCTCAGACGCGATTCGGGCGCCAGTCGCCAGCCGCCGCCACTGACCGTCGCCACTGCGGCCGCGGAGCCGCGCGTTCTCGCGATCTATAATAATGTAACGATAATAATAACGGCGGCGGCGGCGGCGGCGGCGGCGAGGAACCGTGTGGCGCCGCCGCCGCCGGTCTACGGAACGAATATTATACGTACATAATATATATATACGTATATAGTTTATGTCGTCGTGTCGCTGTCGGGGAACGCGTTTCGCCGTCGCCGCCGCCGCGCGTGCAATTTAAAACGTCTCGTGAAAGACAGCGGCGGCGGCGTCCGTCCGACGCATACGTAATGTCTATAATTATACATATATATATATATATATATATGTGTGTATATACAATAATATTATAATCCCACCTGTCCGCCTTTTTTAATTTATTTTTTCGAAACGATTTTTCACCGGCGCGTACTATACGTACGCCGCCGTCGCGTATAACGTGTACAGGGTGATGTACACTGTACGCAAGATTCGACCGTTTCCCATGTTGCGTACGCATAACTGCACACTCATCGGAAATTGTCGATTCCCGCAGATACACCCTGTGCAGTACATTAGATTGTCGCGCGACCGGGGTCGTCTAAAACTTACGCCAACGATCGTGTATATTGCACGAGTATTTGTGTTACTGTCGAAACGGAAACTCGGTAATGATAACGGATAGTGTGTGTGTGTGTAATTAGAGAGATCGGCGAGAATAAACGTGCGTCTGTATGTACCTGTATAATGGCTTTAAGGTCGTGAGACCCGCAAAATCAGCCGAACAAAATAAACTGACGAAAGCTCGCGGTGCTTCGGGAAAATGCTATAGAAATCCCGCGGACTGGAACAGTCGGCGCCAAAGAGGGTTTCATTAACAGAATGTGTAAGTGAAAACGGCAACTGTGTTATATACGTATAGTTAATATGTGTTCGATCGGGAAGATGATTGGGATTATGTTGGGCCCGGTCCACACCAAGGCAACATAGAACGACGTGCAAATTATCTATAATTTCCTATTGTTCCGTAACACGTGAAAACAAATTGTATCGTTAAAAACATGGCGTACATGTTTTGGCAACAAAACCACAGCAACATTTGATAAACAACTAGACTAAACTGAGTGCGCACTGATAAACCTTCAGCTACATGTCGCCTGTTTACCAATTTATTATATTGTTTTTATATTGTTTTGTGGTAACGTGTTTCGCTTTCAATCGAAACATGAAACAATGAGAAATGTTTGTTGCTCGCAACAAATTATTGTTGGAACATTTAGTAACTTCTGGACATATGTAGGAACATTTGTTGGGTCAACATACTTCGCCATAAAAAGTTGTTATATGTTGCCTTAGTGTAGATCGGACTTTAGGAAACGTATTGTTATATTAAGACGCGAAAGCTTATTAAAAGCAATGTAGGATACGTCAAAGGACATGCGGCAAGAACAATACCGAAGGCGGCATATTACTTATTATATATATATATATACGACTCGAATCGCAAAAAGACCGCGGACAGGGAAAAATACCGCGCAACTATAAAAAGCTACAGCGGAGAGGCATGGAGAATCGAAACGGACAATCGTAGGATTATTGTGAAGGGAACCTCATCATCTGTGGGTTTTGCGAGACAAAGGGGCGGGCAGAAAAAATACCGAAATATATAATTGAAAATCTTAAGTAAAATATTAGTGCACGATTACAACAAAAGTTTCTCGTCCGTGTCTGACCGCCCCCCCACCCCCGAATCCTTTGCGGCACGTGTACGACATCGCATATCGCAGTAAACTTGTTCCGTATACTTTTTTCGATTCAAACGTTTTCTACCGACCGGCGATGAAATAAAAAATTTCCTTTACAGCAAAATCGTCTTAGTTTTATACCTACGTAACACCTAGAGAAAGGCGAGGACAATTAATAGTATCGAAAGCTTTCAACCGAAACTTTTAAATCGTTAAACATTCAAAATTATTCAATTTTTTTTTTTAATTTTTAGCATATCGTATACTAATATGGATTATACTGTTTTTTTTTTTTTTTTATTTATTTCGTTTGAAGTAAACAGATTTTCCAACGAAAATCTTGCTCCAATCAAAGACTTCACAGAGACTTTATTTTATGTTTTTGACCTAGTCGGTGCATCGAGGAAGCCATCATTTGATTTTCATTGTAATTTTCCTAATAAATCGGAAAAACTGGCAGTTTTTGTTGATTTCCGGGTTAACACGGCAACGAGAAAAAAAAATACTCTGATCAGAATCGCGGTATAGGAACGGTTTGTCGTGGTCGAATTGAATTCCGCTACTAAAACAGTGGCACACCCACCAGCGTCGTCGGTCTTTTTTTTAAGACAAAATAAAATTGTATACATTATTATGATCACGCGGTTTTTCGTACACGCAATTCATTTGGAACCTAAACGATTCGTCACGTTAATTCGGTTAATTCGTACGTTTCGCAGCGGTTTTTCCGAGGCGTTTCTGTACCGTTATCATATTATTATTTTTTTATGATAATTATTATTATTTTATTATCGTCCGTCAAATTCGTTTTCTGCAGTACGACGACACGCGGCGTCTTCGGACTGTCGCGTCACGATCTCACGTTTATAATGCAGACGCGGCGTCGAGCCGATAATTATCACGTCCAGACGGTTTTTTTTTTTCTGTTTTAATGGGGATACCGTAAAAAACAAACCGCTCGGGGCATACCGCCGAACGCGCGGTCTTCGGATCCATCTGTTCCAAAACAATATCGCATTACAATAATTGCGAAATTTCGATGTTGAATTTTTGTCACGAACGTCGTCGCCGTGGAGCAGTCGTGCAGGAGCGTCGTATTGTCTATCGTCGTGTTCGCGGATTCCGTCATTTTATTTGTACACGGAACAACTACGGTTTCGCGATGGGAATAAAACGTTACGCCGAATATAGACCGACAAATGTCTTCATGACCGAACGAATCGCGCTAATCAATTCAGAAACGCATCGTGCATAATATTTCATATGGTTATGCGCGAACCGAACAGTTTTTATTGTATTCGACAAGTGCGGGTTAGTTTTGGGCGTTTAATTTAATTTTTTTTTTTTTCTGTGCGAGGGTGAATTTATTTATAACGAACATCGCAGCGACGGATTCCAATACGCCCGTATCGCCTTCACTTACAGGGCGCTAGAGTACAGAACCTTTCACTGTGCCCACGACAAACCGCAACAGACCTAACTCGAGCGATTATAGCATCATACCCGTAACTCCGATTTCGGTAAATTCATGCTCGCGGGATAATAATTACCGGATAAACGGCCGAAATATTGACCTATACGTCTACTTTTGCCGTTGACCCGAATCGTCAGTCGTCACTAAACAGTCCGATTTTTTTCGGACGGCCGCGGCTGTCGGTCGATCGATAATTTTTTTAGGATGGTGATTTTTTTTTTCCGCGAACATCTTTTCCGTCGGAAAACTTGCCGCTCCGACGTATCAAGTGCGTAGCGCCTTTTCTGAAAGGAAATTTTATCCGCGGTCGGTACTGTAGAGATCAATTTTCGATTGTCCGAACGGTTTTCGTAATAATCGGGAAAAACTGGTAAAATGTACGTGCAGGTACACGTAGCAGGTACACGTGAGAGGGACTTCGCCCCGAATCGTTTTTCGTTGGCGAGGTTAGGTTTATAGTCGCGCATACAGATGTAAAATAAATTCCCCCTCCATATAACCTACATAACCCTCCCTGTTTCTCACCTACGACGGCGGCCCGCCCGTCGTGCGAAGCATGTCCGTCTTTTTCTTTCCCCCCCCACCCATTTGTTTGTTCATTGCGCGCATCATACGGCCGATGGCCGTCGCGGACAAAAGACGCTCCGCTATGTTTTGTCCGTATAGCTGCGGCGGACGAGGACATTACGGGGCTTATAGAAAACAACAACATTATTGTATTAATGTTACTGCAAGAATATTACGTCTCGTTTAAATCCCGACAAAAGAACGCCGCGACGGACAATAATATTGCGCTGTCGGCGGACGTTTACACGCGGTCTGTGTATCACGCTTCGCGCGTATCCGAATGCGCGTGTATAATAATATTATTATTAACATTATTGTAATTCGCATTGTTTTTAGGGTGCCGGGCACATTATGGCGGAAAAATCGGTAGGGAAACACACAGCGGGTACGTAATAATAGTGTAACGCTGTACACAATGTAATATTATATTGTGCGCGTTATCGAGCAGCTCCGATGGTGATAATGACGGCGATGGCGCGCATTCCGCCGGTATTGTTATCCTTTTGTTGCGAGAAGATAATGTACGTTGTTCAGTCGCTCGCTCGCTCGATTCCCCCCGGGGGCGCGCAGCGTTGCGTCTTGGCCGTACACACAGCGGCGTATTACAGGGAGGGGGGGGGGAGGGAGGTAGTGGGCGACGGGAGCGATCGCCCCCCCTCCCCGTACTCCCCGTCGATTAACTTGTGCAGGTATTACAAATATAAAAACACTCCGCGTAGAGAGATCGATAGGGTGGAACATTATAATAGCCTGTGTGTACACAACCTCGTGTATAACGATTCAGGTGTCAGTCCATCCCCGCCCCTTCCATAAAACTAAGTCAAACGTCACGCCACCGCGTGCACGCAGATATTAAAGCGTTGTCTTTTATCGTAGCTCCATAGATAATACCGCATGTTATCCGAGATAGACAATCGAATCGTCTGTATGTAGATGCGCGTTCACCCGCATGGACGAAAATCCTTTTTGTCGCGTTATATCGATCGCGCACCGCGTTATTCCGCGTGAAACATTACGCGCGAGTCTGTCGAATCCGCTAGGCACGGTTATTTTAGTGATTTCAGCGCGCTCGGTTTTTTTTTTTTTTTTTTTACGAAAGACGACAAACAAAATTGTCTTTTTTTTCTTCTTCCCGTCTCCAGATAAAACGTTCCTATAATTATATTCGTTTTCGTCTATAGATAATACAGTCAAATGCTGTTGCGCGCACATCTTTTATCTTCGTCTGTATAGGCACAATATACCGACGATACTATAGTGGTTATCTTTCACTATCTAGATATTTTAAAACGCATCTTTGTACAACACCGCCCCGAGGGGCCGCAGACACGCGTCGTTTTTAACAGCGTATTATTCGAATCTACTCGTAAATCATTATCATAATATACGATATCTCCGATCTGAAGTGTGTGTATATATACATATACCTACAATATCCGGCAAAAGTCACCGCACGAGTTGTACGCCTGCGTGTGTATACATACGGGTATATTATTATACGTTATTTATAAATACGTTTTTTACTCGATATTATAATACACTGCGTACCCATACATTTTGTAAAAGTTTCCGACGAATCGTCACCATAACGTACGCCCGGGTCGCCGACATAAGACGACGAGATAAGCTCCGAGAAGAATATTTAAGACCGAGAGTGTATTATGTTACAATAATTTATACACGTGTATTATTATAACCGTACCGCGTCTCGCGTCTGTTGGAAAAATTTTAATGAAAAACAAAAAAAATATATATATTATATACGTAGCTATACGTCACAAAATTATTATTATACACGTATAACAGTGATGAGTCTGATAAAAAAAAATAATAATAATAATAAAAAACAATCCAAAGTTAACCGCATACCCATATCTTTATACTCGTATTTACCGACGGAATGCGCGTTTATGAGGTCGAACATTTTTTTTTTTCGTTTGATTATATTTTTATTTCGTTGCAGCTTGTGGTTATGAGGTGCGTAGGTATCCATATATATATAAATATATATGATATGTGTTGCGTACACGTTGGTATTTATAATATAATATTATATTTCGAACGGCTAGACCAACTATACGGAACCAGTTCAAATGTAGAGAATATTCGAGAAGAATAATGATATTTCGAGGTAAATAATATCCGAATAACAGGTATACACTCGGGCATCGGGCCGTGTTCTAACCGATCGGTGTTATATAAACTGACAAACTCGGAAATATCTATAGATAAATAATAAATAATCAGGGATATTGATCAATAGATTGAAAAAAAAAAAAGGAAGATAATTTCTTTAATTTGAAATTTAATTTATAATCATTCAGCAGAGCGGTAAACTCGTAGTAAAAGTGTGCTGAATTGTTGGTGTACATTTAGATTTCGCGTAAAGGTCCACTTGATTAGTAAACCGTATATTATTAATATAAATTAAATATTCTATCTATTATTTCTAATAAATATTATATAAATTACGTTAAACAAAATGTATCCGATTAAATTATTTATCTTAGATAATGGCTCAGATAATTTATTTCTCATTTATCTAGATAAAAAAAAAAAAAAAAAAACTACAATGTATTTAGATAAATTCGTCTTGTGTATCGCTGCAATATGGCCGTTATAGAATATTTCGCATCTGTTTGCGTTTACGTTTTCCCCGTCTCGTTAAGAATATACTTTTTTTTATTCACATTTTACGAGTTTTGACGCGTTTCCGCTACTGGCAATCGTATATCGAATCAGCGGCAAAGATTGTGAATTTGTTGAAATCTATTGAAAAGAATAATTATTATTACCTGAGTCAGTAGCGGACCCAGAGTTGAATTTTGGGGGGCTCCCAAAAAAAAAAAAAAATAAAAAATACTAGTCCGATTTTTGTAGGTGGGAAGTTGAGAAGGTAGGACGCAAAAGGTTATTTAATTTATATCTGTAATCACCGATAAATTATTGCCAACTTATTTTCTGATCGGAGTAAGATTTCCGGTGGAAACTTTGTTCACAGACAAAAGCAAAAATAAAAATACATCATTATAGGATACGATCAATACGTTCATCGCGCCCCTCCGGTTTTCTTCATTGAAAATCTCGCTGTATTTTTACACGCGCTAAACAATTGATTATTCGCGAAAGTACAAACTTTCGTATAGTCTATATAGTCTGGAAGGGAGGCCGAGACCCACCTCCCCTCGGATCCGCCACTGAATTGAGCGTATTCAACCGCAAATGCCGTGACGGTGCACGGCAAATAAGTCCGCCAAATCTGCCGATCGGACAGTAATTTTTTGCCGCGTGGACGAAACGAATGATGTATTTGATTTTTGTCGTTACGTTTATTCGATAACAAAAGGATTTACCGAGCCTATCGCCGGAGTCGTTTCGCGCGTACACCGGCGGTTTCGATACGGCCGAGCCGACGATAATACAACGTGGAAATAATATCGCGACGTTTATCACGGCGGTGGAAACCGGCCACCGGACGTTCGGGTCGTACGAAAATTCGGAATTCCGACGCGAGCAAATCCCCGGGGCCGCGGGTTATACACGCGCGCCGCGGTCCGGGCCTTTCCTTCCCCGCCGTGGGTACGGTGGAGGAAAATATGAAAGAAAAGAAGGACATTATTATTATTATTATTATTATGGTTATTCGTCCTTTTGTGCGGCCGCGTAATGGATCCCCGTGGATACGGCCGCAGCACCGGAAGCGCGGATCAAAGACGAAATATACTCGCCAACATACACGCGCATACAACTATAATAATACTACGCGTATACACAAAAAATATTATGTGCTGTACGGACACACGCGCGCGAGCGAGCGAGTAAACGACGACCGCCGCCGCCGCCGCCGCGTCCTCATACACAAAAAACCCATTGACCCTATCCGGTGGTGTTGCCGTTGCTGTTGCTGCTGCACGCAGGACCGGATGTTCCTTATCGCGCGCTCGCACCTATACGTATATCCTAGAACCGCATTCCTTACGGCCGCCTCCGGCACGAAAATATGCGTCCGCCGCCGCGCGTCTCGTCGGATATAAAAAGGACGCGGGACGGAAGAGAAAGAGTGAAAAAATGCGGTGTTTTTATGTTGTTTATTTTTTTTTTTTTCTCATGTCCGTCCCCTACGTCGATTATTATAATATTATTTAACGATAATATTTGTTCGCGCGACGACGACGACGACGCTTCCGGTCCGGGCCGCCGTCCGTATTACTCGGCGCGGGCAGAGCAGAGTGTAGGTACCTACGCGGCGGCCGCCGCCGCCGCCGCCAGATTTGGCCCGGTAAATTAACCGGAACGGGGTTTTTTTTCTTTCTCTCTAAAACAATCGCGCGACAGAGTGTACATAATATTACATGTACGTTTTTTTTTTCTCCCGCGTGCATTATGTATATACGCGCGTATTATGTTATATACATAAACACATATATATATATATATATATATAGCGATGATGACCGCTAAGCCGACGCGGGGAAAAAAAAAACGAACGAACGAACGGAACGACGAAGAATAGGCACCCGACTGGTGCGGTAATTTTAAGGTTATAATATTATACGTATCTCGGTTTTTTTTTCGTCGTCCTCCGATCTTTTTTTTCGGTTTTTTTTTCCACATCCCTCTCGGACCGAGACTCGAGAAAAAAAACCAGTAGCGACCGCATTATTATAATACGCCGAGCCGTCAAAACGATGATACGGTCTCCGCGTGTGCGTGTGTGTGTGTGTGTGTGTGTGTGTGTGTGTGTGTGTGTGTGTGTGTGTACATAATATATTATCAGCGGCGCACGGTAGCCCCGCCGTGTACCGAATACGTAATACAATTATCGTTGTTATTATTGTCGTTGTAGTGCAGGTACACGTGGACCCGGGGCCCCCGGATTAGTTTTCGCCTCGAGCCATTGCGGACTTCGGTTCTAAACGGTCGAAACACTATAATAGGCAAACAAAAATGAGGAGAGAAAAAAAAAAGGTTACATTTGTATATACGATTTCGTGCTTGTTTTTCGATTCCCGCTATTTCCGCCCTGAAATCCAAGACATTGCTTTTTGCTTTTTTTGTTTTGTTTTTTTTTTTTTTTTCATAAACGTGATGCAATTCACGACGGGCTCGCTGCGACGATTAGTTTTACGATTTCGCGCGTCTCGGAGCATTACGTGCCCGCGTGTATAGGCAATCGAACTAATAAACACAAAACAAAAAACAATGTCGCGTCTAACCGATAATTGCGATTTTATTTTGCGAAGCACGCAAGTGTCCCCTCTTCTGCCTTCCCCCTTTGATCCGGCCCTGGGTAGACTTGCAGAAGGGCAAAAACAAATAATGCGCTCGGACAGGAAGTACCGACGACGAAATCGGAACACCGCGCGAGGACAGAAAAAAAAATGTATACATTTTACTTATCGACTTTGCGCTCGGGCCAGGAAGTACGCGTACACACAGGGTGTACCACGCGGAAATACGACAATTCTGTTCGATATTTTTCAGTTATCATTTTTTCGAAACAATTACTATTATCCTGCGATGATATTTTATATTTTTTGAATTAAAACAAATTATCATGTAAAGAAAAAAACTGAAAAAAAAAACACCAAAATAATATATTAAGCAGAACAATATGCCGTTGTCGCGAATGTCAGATCTCCGTGGGACACCCTGTATATACCGGCTAATTATAGTATTTATTATTACTAAACGAAACGTTGTGCAACTTCTGACGGCTCCGATATACTACACTGCAATACGCCTATGCTTTTTTTAATTTTTTTTTTTTTTTTTAATTGTCGCCGTACTGTACGTTTTTAATATATAATATCCTAAAAATCGTGTACGGTGGACAGGTGTACGATTTCGTCTGCGGCCGGGTGCGGAAATGCAAACGCGATGACACAGCGAAATAAACATAAACATCGGCAATAAAAAAAATTAAAAATATTACGCGTGCCTACACTTACGCAACGCGGCCCGTAGTAAAAGTTTCGGTCGAAAACGTATCGGCCCGGAGTATTTTATAGATTCTGAGCGCAGCCATGGGCGCAGAGCTATACGGGGTACGTCGTCGGGCGTATAGCACGCTTTAAACTTATACTGACTGATTTTTTTTCAAATCGAGGAAAAATCGTTTTTCATTTATTATAGATATTTAAATAAAATAATATTAACGTCAAGACAAATGAAAAAAAAAAAAATTTGATTTTCCACTGTTATTAGATATTGACATAATTTCGTAAAAATAAAGAATTTGGTTTTTATTATTATTTGAACTTAATTAAAAAAACAAAAAAATCATTTTCAAGTATTTAGTATCACTGTGTTGATTTATCCTAACAACTAAATCTCGATCTTTAAAGTATAGTCTCCTATATTATAGTATATAAAATTGTAAATTACAAATCCTACGGTATAAAACAACGCCAAGAGTTTTTTAGCGGACGTGAGTTTCGAATAATTGATAATGGTACACGCTAACCGTAATTCAGTTACGCATGGTACAAGTGTGTGTGTAAAATACCACAAATTTAAAAACGCTTATTATATCTCGCTTGAAAATTAAAATTATTAAACAAAAAAAAAAAAAAAACGACGACACGACACAGATAATGTTCTTATTATATTCAAATATGTTCTTATCTTTAAGTTTGATAGTAATAAGGTCGATGCACTCAATCTATAATATCGAAACTAACGGCACAGCCAAGCCCGGATTAAGATATTTAGAGACCCCGGGATCTCTAAAGATTAATACGATTAATAATAATAAACGTTTTTTAAACGTGTTTACTGATATAGACTTCAATATTCAAAAGCCACGAGTACTATATGAATAAATAAATATACTGTTTATAACAAGGTATACCGTATAGTAGTTTCTACTATTTTTTTTTTTTTTTTATAATAATACGGGATAAGTCGTCATCAAGCAACGAAAAATTATCAAAACATCATCACGGTATGCAAAGTCAACGGTGAAATGCACGCATAAAGAACGCACTCTGAAGAAAACCGAGGCCCAGGGAGTCACTGTCCCTGCCGAACGACAATATTTGCCATGTCACGCGGTCGTATAAGACGAACGCGCAACTCGTTCTTGAGTAGGCATTACGTAATATCGTGTAGAGTTTTCAATAGTGCGGGTGATAAAATATCGTCTCGACCGATGCCTTCCAAAACATACACCGGCGCCTAAATAGTATTTTGTATGCGGCATGATAACATCGTGTAACGTGTATATATTATTATTGTGTCGATGTGAAAGTTCACGATTGCCATTCTGCTGTATACGCGTGTATATGTAATGATATATCGACGAGATCGGACGACACGTGTGTGTGTGTGTGTGTGTGTATGTGTTTATAATGATACAGTATCCAACACGAGATTATCTCGAGCCGTAATAAATGCGTGTAACGCGAAACTGGTATCTATAAATTCCCTATATTATGTGGGTTATAGAGAATTGAAATAATTCGATTTTAAACGCATGCCGCCTCTGTGTATCTCAGCAGCCATTTAATTAATATTATGAAAACTTGATTATCAGTGTCAGACTCGAGTCAGTTTTGTATATAGTCTTCAATACAAGCAAATTAAATTTTGAAAATTGATCAATGGCTGAGTATAAATTGCTGTATGGCCTAACTTATAAATAATGGCTTATACCATTTAATTATATGGCTTCAGACTTTTCGTGAAACGAAAAATATACATCACAGCGATTTGAAATATTAAAATGTTCAGTAAAACACGTGTTTGGCCATTTAAACCAAAAATAAAGAGGGGAAAAATGATATGATAAATTTAAGAAAAAAAAAAATGCCGAAAATTAACCTCTTCTTCCCTCAGATAAACGATATATTGTGTGTTTTTAAAACAAGTTGTGATATTTTAAAATTTTTTGAAAATTATGCAGAAATATGGTATGTACGCACCTAAAATATGTAGCCTTACCGCAATCGCTCGATTATAACATTATTATTTCGGCATTATAAGAGTGGTCCAAACGAGTGCAAACGAAAATAAAATAATTTTTGGTTTTGACGACACGATGCGCAGTCGAGACGAATATTTTTTGTTTCACTTTTACGCCGTTAGAAATTGATCTGATGGAAAAATATTAAAACTTGCACGCATTTTTCGAGTGGCGTAACAAATATATTTATATTTTTTGTTTCAAGAAAACCCGAATTTCGTTCCGAAATGTATTTTTATAATCGAAATTATTGATATCCACGGAGAAAAAATTACGGCCGAAGAAAATGGTACATTCGGGCCGTAGGAAGAATAGAAGAATTTTTATTCATTTCTTTTTTTTTTTTTTCGTAACGTTATTTAATGACGTATGACAGTAACGGTCCAAGGTCGTTTTTCGGAGGAACCAAAACTGTTACAGTTCACTAAAAAACGAGAGATTATGTGTTTGTCGCGCGCCCAAGCGATTATCCGGGTCGACAAAATAAATAAATAAAAAAAAACTATATTCCTCGTGCCATATTATATAACATAATATTATCATTGCAGTTACGAAACCGGAAAAACGAAATAATGTTATATATTTATGTATTTGAGTCGCTGTGTCGTTTTACCGTCCGGTTTACAGATTTTGGGGCCGGGTATTTTTCCAAAGATAAACAAAAATTGCTATGTCTAATTAATAAGGGCACAAGTTTATAAAAAAAAAAAAACAAAAACATAATAACAATGATGAAAAAAACGCGTAAATAGTTCGAATTAAAGCCAGCTCTTTATACGGGATAAAACGAAAAAGCTAAACATCAACAATGTCATGTTATGCGCCTGTAAAGGTGGGTAAGACCGTATGCGCAACTAGGAGGTGCTAGGGGGTCTTGAGCATTTCCGAGTTTAAAATTAGCGTCCCCAATCAAGGTTTTTTCATAGTAATGACAAAATATTTTAATCCATGTATTTTTCCTAGTTAATAAACTAAACAGAATACAGGTTTCCCACAGACAATGCACGAGTGTATGAAAAATAATGTTAAAATAATCATGATAAATTTGTATATACAAAATTGTGAATGAAAGGTATAGTTAACTATTGTAAGAGTCATGTAAAGTGGATTGTGGGGGCCTGGGTCTTTGATGTGTCCATAATTTTACCGCCCCCAGAATTGGTGGTCTAGTTGCGCCTAAGGGTAGGGCAAATTCGATGACGGTAATATTGAAGATTTTAGAAAAATGTAGTATAGTATTTTTAGCAAAAGTTAGTGCGTTCGGCGCGAGATAATTTTTTGAAATTTTCTTTAAGTATATTCTTTGTTAAATGGAAAAAATGACGCTAATTTCACATTTCCGTACGCACTTTAATCGTGATATAAACGTTCCGCGTTTTATTTTAAACTTCTAATTTAGTTTAGGCCGTCCTACGTCCCCGGTGCACGCAGTGCGTACTTCAGGATCACGAGTATCATTTTTACGTAAGTGCAGCGGTAAATACAAAATACCGAAAATGGTCCGACTCGTGTTTTAACGAGTACACAGTATGAGTCGAGACTGGCGTGTTAGCCTTGCAACCTATAGGTTAGATTACGTAGGCTAGTACCCATGTGTACGGAGTCCCACTATATTAGCATGGACCCGGCAAAAACGGTACGGCTAAACAAAATATTCGATGAAACCGTTTGTTTAAGTAAACGTTTTAAAATTACCCGACCGTCGGAAAAAAAAAAAAAGAAAACGTGTACCGCAGCTTTGTCTCCGGAATTCGATGGTAAATAACCCTCGAGTTTATAGGCGAAAAAAAGTCGCGGGGTTTTATCATCTATCGATTCCGTATCGTCTCGCAGTCGTGACAGCGACGGACCCGATTCGAGCGTGTGCAGCACACCAGCAAAGTTTATTGTTTGTCTATCGAAATATCTTTGGCCCTTAGAAAAAATACCGTCAATACTGCAATAGATTTCGTAATGAACGCGGTTTAACATATTATTCGGGTTACTTTTTTACGAAACGGTACTGGGCGAAAAAACGAGGCGGTTCGGAAAACGTTACGTTTCCCAAAACAAAATCACAAGCGCGTCGCTCGGTGCATTTCGGTATTGGTGGGCGGCGGAGTACGCGCGCGGACCGACGGAACCGTCGGTCCGCGTTCGATTCGTGCGAGCGACGGAACATTAACTCGCGGCGGGGGACCCGGACTCGAGTTTTCCGGAATTTTACGTTTCGTCGGGCCGATTCCCGGGGGAACCCTCGTACACGTAATAATAACGTAATAAATATTATTGTATTATTGTACTCTACAATACGTTTGTACGTATGTATACGTATGCGCACGCACGCTCGCCCGCGATCCGGTCAAACCAGCTTCATATTCAAACACTGCTGCTGCTGCTGCTGCTGCCGCTGCTGCCTACCACCAATCTGGTTTATATATATGTATACATACGAGCACGATGATGATGATAATAATAATAATAATAATAGAAAGAAAGAAAGACAGAATGAAAAAAAACATACGTACGTATACGTATCGGCCCGTACAATCTCTCGAGCTGTTTGTGCGCGCGCGTGTATTATAGCGATGCGGTGGCGCCTGAGACAAAGTTATAAAGGCGCCTAGTTGGCGATTACGGCCCGCGGGGCCTTAACGCGGAATATTATTATTATACGTTGCGCGCACACACACACACACACACTCGCGCGCGTTCGTATTTAATACCAGTGGTGCTTAACATATCACACCTACCGTAAAACCGAAATGCGTATTCGAAAAAAAGCTATTTTCGTTTATTTTTCGCCCCTCGAGACTTCAAAAAAAAAAAAAACTACAATAATAATGTATTGATATAATAATATTATATGCTCACCCCGGTCTGGTAGAGCACTTTGACCGCGGACGCCTCGTGCCTGAACCTTCTGGGCTCCTGTTGCTGTTGCTGGGACTGCGGTTGCTGTTGCTGGGCCGGTTGCTCGACGACGGGATTCGCGGGTCGCCGATCGTGGTGACGATCGTCGGTGCTTGTAAAATAATTACCGACGGTAGGATCTGCGGGCCCGCCGACAGACTCCGCGGACATCGCCGTCCACGTCAACGCGGCCATCACGTAAAACACCACCGTTATCGCGCGCGGTTCGACCATCACGCATCCCCCAATTGTGTTCTTCACGCGATTCAAACGATCACAAGACAAGACACACGACCGACAATGTGTATAATGCCTAGATACGATTATAGGCACGCGGGCCTATCTATAACGTTGTCGTTTTTATAATATTACTGAGTTTTCGGGCACGTATTTAAATACGCGCAGCACATAACCGTGATAGTACGACGGCGTTACAATATGTTCGGTTTGCCGGCGCGAAAACGTCAATAGTGTTTGTGTATATGTGTTTATGAAAAAAAAAAAAATAATAATAATAATAAACAAATATCACAAAAAATAAAACGACGGAAAAATGTATTGTGTAAATTAACGGACTAAATAATGTTTATTAAAGTCTGGCGTCCGCGTAATGAACGTACTAATATCGCGCACCGTATAATACTTTGTAAATTGACGCCAAGTGGCAAACGACGTGACCCGTGACACCTATAAGAAGCAAGCGTGTGTGTGACCGTTGACGTTCGCGGTCGGTGTGTGAACGAGTGTCGTCGTCGTCGTCGGTTGCCGCGCGCGTTTTCCCCATTCAAGAAACCGACCGTGTGCGTGTGTGTGTAAGCGTGCGCGTGTGTACATAGAGTGGATAGGCCTTCGATACGCACGCACTGCAGCCGCCGCCGCCGCCGATCCGGATAGAGTAGTAGGGATGTTTTTATGAATGAACTCGCGGCTCGGCCGCGTCGGACGGCGACGGAGGTGGGGCGATGTATATAGTGTGTGCACGACTACGACGACGGCGGGTGGTGGAGCGGCGGGCGAATGAGGCGGTGGCCGACGACGTCGACGCATAGACGAGGGGGCTTGGCGGCGGGTCGGTGGTTGACGGCGCGCACCTGGTCCTCGAGTCCAGACTCCGACCACATCCTGCCCGGTCCACTAATTACCGCGGCGGCGAGGTTGCTCTCTTCGCCCGTCTCGCGTGTACCTTGGACGGATGCGGTGGAGGAGGAGCAGGAGCAACAGCGACCACGATATATATACATGTATAATATATATATATATATATATATGTATCGTGAAGAGGTGCTGGTGGCGGTGTACAGGTGCGGCGGCGGCGGTCCACCTTCGTCGTTGACCGGCGGCAACCACACGCCTAAAACCAAAACGGAACTCCGGTTACTACGCATAAAATCCATTACTCGCGAGATTATAATTTAGGTTGTTGTTGTTGTTGTTGTTGTTGTTGTTTTTTGTTCTGTTTTTTTTTCCCCGTCTCTCTTTCGCCTTCTCGTTTTACGCCCCTATACCGCCCCCCCCCCTTCTCTTTCGGCGTCCCGGCCGTCGCCGCACACAATATACGTACACGACGACGACGACGACGACGACTACGTGTACATAATATAATATTATACGAGAAGACACGGTGCACACGCTGCGGCGGACAATGTCCGCGAGAAATAATATTTTCGTCGTCGCTTGTGTGTGCACGTCCACTTTTCTCCCGTGCACGGCTCACTACATCACGCACAACGAGTAACAACTCCCCCTCGGGAGAAATCCGACACTCGAGTGTGACCGAAATGAAATTATACGCTGTCCGAGTGCACATATTATAGGTACCTACCTATACATGCGCACACACCGCAATCCGTCCGTCACCGCGTCTACGGACGAGAGGGGTTTGCGCGCGTATAAGTTTCAATGTTTTCTCCGGCCGGTGCATAGGTTCGTGTTATAATATATGCACCACACAGCATACGGTGTAATATCCACTAAGACGCGCGGTGCCGGCGACAACCTGTGGACGAACACGGCATAATTTATGTATTATTATCATGATGTGCGTGTACATGCCCCGTATACACTTTTTATGAAACTTTGATTTTCGTAAATAAACACAAGAATGCGTATAATACGATCGAGTGTGGCACAGCGCAGATGGGTACATCATACTGCACTATTATCGTCTGGACAATGATAATTTTATTGCATATACTTACGCGAATTTATAAACCAAAGGTTATACTATTTCATTTGTAAGTCTCACGTGGAACTTAAAAAACAACTATTACATTTTTAGATCAACCGGTTTATTTTAAAATTTTTCCTGACATTACGGGGGAATCCTACAACCTCCCCCTGCTTTCGTCCCTGATCAACACCTATATTATAATGAACCGTTGATAATATAAGCGAGGAAATAAGTGTAAACCCCTCCGTACATAAGACGAGAAGCTGAGACGAGTAAGATGAGATCGATAAATCCAGTATAATAGTGGTTTTATACGAATGCATGTAGACGGAAGGTGAGGAACTGCGAGAAGTCTGAAAAAGAGATGGTTAGACACGATTGAGAGTGATAGACGATGTGAGAGACGGAATCAAGCGAACATTTATTAGGATCATGGCGGCCGACCCCGAAAAGTTGCAGGAAATAAAAAACCAATGAAAAGCACATATAGCACATATTTAAGTCATTTTCAATCTATAAAATCTGAGCCCTGTTTATTACGGTTAAAATATACTGTAAAATATATTGTGTAGTATGTCAGCGTGGTGAAGTTTTCCGTCATTTATTGCGATTTCGACATGTCCCGAAAAATTGTGTCCCTCCGTCTAAATATACGAAAGTTTAATATTCCAGACGCATCAAACTAATGCCAGAATCCAAAACCTCGTCAATAATAATTATTATTAATCCGTCGACGTCCCAATCATATTTTGTTGTGTATACAGAAGTGTAACCTATAAGACGGTTTTTTTTTTTTAGTTTATTATAAATCTAGCAGCTGCAGTAAACCCGTATCGTATAAATTTGTTTTATCTTCATAACATTTACGCGTATTATAAGAAGGTACGATGTAATAATATAATATACGTATATCATTATAATTATGTAAAAATATTATCATTTGTATATGACGATTATAATTTTTTTCTTTTTCTTTTATATCAGTCCGTTTTTTTATTTAATATGTCCATATGAATAATATCCTATAGGATTGATAGTGTACTTAATATACACGCATATAGCAATTATTATTAAATGTGCGGATAGAGTGTGTTGAACCGAGAGCCAGAGATGACGCGCACCGGGCTACCGCGGATTATATTATTATTGTATAAATCATTTGTAAACTTGTAAGTATGTATATATATTATAAGTATGTAATAATATATCGGAAGTCAATCGCACCTATATTTATTTTATCGTTTACGTTTGACCGGCGAAGAACATAAAATATATTAGGTAGGTATTCACGCGCGAGAGTAATATTATCATAATAATATATGCTGAATATTATTAAGCATATTATTCTTATAGCGTCCGATATTAATAACGGTGTAATAAATCATTTGATATATAGGTATATTAAACTATCGTGTGCACTGAATATCATATAAATTATAGGTATTGAAATAATATAAAAACGTGCAGTATCTTACGTCCAAGATACTGAAACAAGAAACAATAAGCTAACCTACTGAAAACACTAAAAAATAGAAGAATGTGATAGAACGCGTACTCCGACGCAACGGGTTTCTGACAAGAATAGTCGAGAGAATATTGGAAGGAAAAAAACGGTAGTGGAAGATCTTCCTTATGCTACATTATCCAGATGAATTGCACATCACAACTGTGAGCTTAAAAGGAAAACGTTAATGCGGGAAGAATAGAATTCTGATAACCAGCCTACGGACTGATAAACTTAAAAACTAGAGCTGATTATGTTGATGGGTGTACCACTTTTGTTGGTGGGAAATCGGGAAGATAAGATACATAAAGTTATAATTTGGTATTTGAAAATTGTATTTTAAATGCGTTTAATGAACTTTGTTCAAAATCAGTCATTGTTCTTTTGAAATTTAAATTAATATTATGTGTTTTGATTGCCGAAAATAACCTTTTATACGAACTTTGCGTTTTATCTGGAATTAAAGAGAAAATTGATATTACCAAACCTATGCTTTATAATTTGTATATCGTGTATACTTGTGCAATGGAATAGAATACATATGACTTAAAAGTTTCATCTGCAAACCAATGATCAGATTTAGTCAGTAAATGAAAATTTTTTTTTCGTAGTAAATACTGAAATCCGATTTTTAACTAGTTCAATGTCATTTATCCATCGGGTATTATAATATCTGTCATAGTTAACAGGTTAGATGGAACAGAACTATTAATTTGTCGTATTCGACACAAAATTCGTTTAATACTTACTGGAGGAAGAACTCCGTAAACTGCTTGCGAACACAATGTTGACGCTTCTGAAACGATCTGATGTGGATTATCTTGAAATAACAGAGCTCGAATTTTCATTTTGTCTACATAAACACGTCGTTTAATTTCTAAATTTGAAATAATTATGTTCACTAGGTCCTTTAACAATTTCTTCGTTTTTTAAATTAAAACGTAATTTACACAGGTCTTTATTACATATCCAATAGATAGTATTTTTATATTTTTTATCAAACCTATACAAATAACCATTATATTTTAATACATTTTTGTTTTTTTGATTTCGAAGAAACTCCATTACGAATGAATTAACCGTTATTATGAAACTTATAGATATTATACGACACTGATACAGATCGGACAACAGACGACTCGAGTAATGGTTTATCTTTATTACGTGATCCAAAACGCAAAAGTACAAAATGACATTATTGATTATCAAGTATTATTATTATTTTCTATGATAAAGGTAGACAGTGGTTAGGTTCAACCGCGGCTTATCTTCATTACGTGATCCGAGACGCAAAAACACAAAATTAAATTATTGATATTATCTAGTATTAGGTATTATTACCTAGTATAGTATAAACAGTATACCTACTCACGAAAATAATTTCTTACTTTTCGCTGATAAAACATTTCGCAATTTTCACATAGACTCAGTTTTTAAAATGTTGTACAGTAGAAACAAATGGATTTGGAAGATTATTCCATTCCATATGTTATAAATGTATAATTTATAATATGATCAGCGTTTCCAACTATAGTTATTTAAATCTACAAATTTATTCTTTCGAATATTGTTTTTTCCACTATTTATAAAGTACTCCATTGCTATATGTTCAATATTTAACCAGCATATTAACCATTTGATGAATCCAAGTTCAATTTTGTCACATTTGATTGTATATTATTATTATAGCGTGACTATATTATACGGGATGGTCACGTGTTTCAACTATGTGTCCCATTGTCCCGACAAAAGTTATACAGGGATGTATTTTATCGTGTTTTTTTCAAGTGTGTCCCGTATAACATTTGAAATTTATTTAATGTCTGTATGGCATTATTTAATTTAAAACAAATGTGCACAAACAAAGTAGAAGTAAAAATTGACCAACCATTATTATCAAAATAAAATTGATTTTGCGTATAAATATTCAATAAATCTTTATACAGTACACATTTGTAATATATTCATAGCTAGGTTTACTTATTATACATTATACTTACTATACTATACAATACTATACTATACATCAACTATCAATATCATGTTTAATTTGGTT